GTAATTCTGAGGGGCACTGAAGACAGGAAATTAGGTTTGTAGAAAAAGACTCACTGCTGGGCATGGCTGTACATGCCTGTAATCCCAGCATTCAGGAGGTTTAGGCAGGAGGATTACACTAGATTTGAGGTCAGCCTGGAATACAGTGAGTTCAAGGCCAGCCTGGAATACATAGCTTGACTCTGTCTCAAAGAACAGCAAGGGCTTACTTAGTTTCTTGTAGGCTTCATAGTGAGAAGCCTGGCAGCAGAGGGCCGGAACATCATGGTCTTACGGGTGGAGACTGAATCAAAAAATTCCAGAGAGAAGGGGTAGGTGGGCTACACAGGACTCATCCTCTCCTGACCCCCTGGGAATAAGAGAATAGCCCTTCGCCACCCAGGTGCCCCTGCAAGGTGAACCTGCAGATCTCCCATCCCACCTGCCTGCTGTGGTTCGGTCATCATCAGATGGAAGCTGGAAGAAAATGTCTGCTTATGGGGGCCACAGACCAAGAGAGCATGGGTTGGAGGTGCTCCTAAACTTTTCTTGTCCCGGGGCACTGAATCGAGACCCCGTCAGGGAAGCCAGAGCCACAGGCCCAGAGGAGAGGTGAGTTTCCAGTAGGACAGAGTCAGGACATCTGGGTCAGAAAAAGAGACAAACTGTAATAAATCCCTTTTTAATCTCTGCTCCTTTGGCTTATTTCCCCTGAGACATGTGAGCACACTGCCGATTTTTCTTATTTATCTTTTGCACTGAGTAATATCATTTTCCAACTCTCCCATGAAGAGGGTAGCCACTGTGGATGCCTCTGTAAGGATAATATTGTGATCTGGGGTGTGAAGGCTGTCCTTTTGATGACTTGTTTCTGAAATGAGTGATTCAACAATTCCAACTGTTGGCATGCCAGCCTGGGAAATGGGTGGTGGGGGCCATGGTACAGTGAGCGAGGGAGCTCTGGGAACGTGTCTGCTGTCTTCACAAACTCCAATAAAAATAGATTGCCGGGGACAGCTGATGGCACTCCCAGGCATGCTTAGGCCCAGGCTGCCTTCTGTCAACAATTTCATGCCATTTCAAAAGACTGCAGTTTTTTAAAAAAATGTTCTAAAACATTGTTTATGGGAGCATATCAAGTGTCCCTAGACTCATTTCTGATCTGCTTATTCCATGTTGTATCCTGGTTAATTCTATTTTTAAAAAACCTTTGAGCTTTAAAAAGTGGAGTTCCTGATACTTCAAGTGGGTTTCAGGATTACTAAAGCATTGTCTAAGGGCCACGTGTATCCTCTCAGCTTTTGAAGCTACAGGAGTAGAGATCATCGAAGACAGATCCAAGTGAGTCAAGCAGGAGTAGTAAACAGTCTGGTATTTTGGAATATTCTGGAAAAATGCTAAATTGACCACCTGTGAACCTACTGATGAGTGAGTCTACTGATACCACAGTTTCTCCCAGAGAGCACTTACGTCTTGTTCCTGAGTGAAATACTAGTTGGGAGCCCCAAAAAGGTCTAGACTTGAGACCCTCTCAGCCATATGGAGGTCCTAGACCTACATATTGACAGAGCCTGTGGTAACCACTCAGATTCTCAGGTGTAAGGATCAGCACTGGCCTCTCAGGAAGCATTGCTGATTACCTGCAGAGTCATTTCTTGTTCACCAACCTGTCTCTGTCAATGATACATAGAGGGTGACCTCTTTGGAGGGTAGGGAGCCTCTGGCTGGGGAGCTGGATCTCAAGTTTTTGGGAAAAACTTAGATGTTTGGAAAAGGAGACCAAAAAGAAAAAAAACAAAAACAGAGTGCAATTAAGTTCCTGATGAAAGGTTTAGCTAGAAGAAGTTTGACAGAGTACAGGTCTGAATGTCTGAGGAGGCCATGGGGATCTCACTGTTGGATCTTGATGCCCAGGAAGTAAACACCAGCCACAGAACCCAATCAGTTCAGGCTCCTCCACCTGCAGAGATCTCCTGGGTTCCACACAGCGATGAAAGGAAAGGGCTGACCACAGCCTCAGGACGTGGAGGTGAGGTGTTCCTCCTAGTCCAGTTGACTTGGAAACCCCCACGGGGAGCATTTTAAGCTTTTCAACCCTGCTCATTATTATCTTTTCCTTTTTCCTATTTTCCCTTCCAAATGATTGAGCGTACTTTCAGCTGAGAAACATCTAAGTTATAATGTGTACACTTGGCTCCTTCAACCACGTATTTATTTTTGTCAGTAACTGTATACATATAAATGAATACAAAAAGTGATAGATGTAAAACCGAGCCCTGGACCAGTACTAACTGAGAGACGGATGTCCCTAAAGCGCAGAGACCTTGAGAGCACATCTGACTGCAGCCTTGGGGGCCTCCCCGGTGGTAAACAAGATAGAGATGAGTCTTGGGAAAACAGGGCGACCCACACTGCAGACATTTAGGACGGGACATTTGCTGTCTTCAGTTTTCCATATCTGCGTCTTTCACTCAACTTTCTATTTTCTCAGCTTCATTTTCCTGTTTTGATTTTTGAGTTTCTCCCATTAGCTTTTACTTCCTGTTTTTTGTTTTGTTTATTTTTTGGCTTTTGGTTTTGTTTTTTGGTGCTAGGGGCCGAGCTATATGCCTAGCCTGGGTCCCTCGCCCCAGTTCGATCTCGGCCCCTGCCTGAGCTGATCCTGCACTGCACTGTGACCACAGCTGAGTGTGGCTCTCACCTGGCTCCCTGTTCCAGGGCAGAGCCTTTCTGGGTTTTGCTTGATTTTAGTTGGTCTCCACCACTTCCAAGATACTGTTTTATATTTTGCACAGAAATTACTGGCTGGAGGCTTTGTTCAATATAAATTAGCTTACCATCATATGAAGCAAAATTCCTCAGTTTTTCTCTGGGTTCCTCCCCTTTAATTACCTCCAGTATGAAAAAATTGCATAATGTTTATGTTTCGTGATACTGTATCTTTAATACTTCTCTGAGGATATGATAGTTGTTTTATTTTTTTTCTTTTTAGTTTTCTTTCCCAAGAATAGTTTGTGTTCTTCCATTTACTTGTTTTGATCTTTAGCATTTGTTTCGGGCCTTTTCCTGGTGCCTTTTGCTCTGTAAAATGCTTCAGAGTAGGAGGCTGAAGGTCAGGCTGAGAGCTGTGCTGGAGCTGTGTGGTGCAGGTCACAGCAGTGGCTGGCGGCTGCCGATCGGGTATCCCCGAGTGCCAGTGTCTTCCGTTTTCTAAGCGCCTGCTCAGATTCTCCAAGGGATTTCTTCCTGTCTCGTCTGCGGAGGGGGATGTTTGGCTGCCCGCTTTCTGGGAGCTCATTCAGCAGGCAGGTGGTCCTCTGTCCCCCTCCTTGGGAACTAGCAGTTCGGCCCTCACGTGTACTTGATGCCTGGTGTCATGGGACCCTCGGCTTTGTTCCTTTTGGAGAATAAACACCCAGACTGGTGGGAGCCAGGTAGCAGCGCAGGGTTTGGAGTCAGGGGGGCTCTGAGGCTGCTCCTCAACCTCGGACTCAGCTGCCTTGCTTCAGTTCCCCTCCCGCTCGCAGAGGCACCTGCTGTCTGCTCCGGAGCCCCTTGGCAAAGCGGCGCTTGAGTTTCCGTGCTGCCGCTGGCGTTTGCAGCATATGGCTGGGTCTTGCTTCCCGATCCGTTCTGCCCCAGTCTGCATCTTCTGACTGGTGAACCGAGACCACTGACATTGATGGTTAGAACTGATAGGTACTGACTTACCCTTGTCATGCCGTTTTCCTGTTGTTGGCTCCCCGCCCTTTTTCTCCTCCTTCTAATTGTTTGTCTTCCCTGGTGGATTCCTTCTGTTGGGATTCATGGCACTATAGTCCTCATTCTCTTTCTAGAATGTCCTTCTGGAACATTTTCTTGCTGCCACTCTCAGCTCTTGATTTCTTCAGTACATACCCTGCTACCGATTCTTACCTGCTTTGCAGCCTCAAATTCTGAAGGCGGTTTCTTCTCTGATTTTCAGAAGGGAAGGCAGCAAACTCAGACACTAACAGCTGGCAACCTTCAGAAGCTGCTTTCATTGATTAGTTGATTAGGTTTCAGCATCTTGAGTCCATGAACTTGAGTACTTTGGGGCAATCAGAGTCCATGAACTTCAAGTACTTTGGGGCAATCAGACCAATAGGGAACATTTTGCTAATAAACCAAAAGAAATGCTTCAGAATTAGGGTGAGTACATACAATAGTGGCAAATGTAGGTTAATGCATTTAAAGACAAACAAAAAGGTGAATGAGTTGGATTGCACTGTGCTGCAGGAGGAGGCAGGAGATGCAGGTAGACCTTATCCTGGGGCCCTCTGTGTCTGAGATGCCATGGGTGGGTGGCTCTTGTGTTTCGCTTCAAGGAAATGAGGTAGGGCTGTGGACACTCTGAGCATATTAGAGTGAAGTGACAGCTTTACAACAATAGGTGCTAAGCTCTGGGACCCTTCATCTGGGGCATAAAGAAGCGAATATTCAATTTAAACCACAGCCAGTGTGGAGAAAGCAGGTACCAGACCCTGAGCTACCGGAGGGTTACTCTCAAAACTGCAGGCCATAAATGTAGCACACATTTGCCATGGTAGGTCAGAAACTTGGAAAACTGATACAACTAGTTCTTCTGGAATTCAGTTTAATTTGATGGGGATTTGGAGAAATGTACGTGCGAGAACCCCCTTTCTCCAGGGAGACAGGGTGGGGAGCTGAGTGCTGCTGATGTGTGCCCAGCCTTTAACATAGACGCTGAAGAGGACAGATGGGTGGTATGCTCTTACTGGGCTGTTAGAGAACACTGGGCTAGATGGGGAAAGGAAGGCTTGGTGTATAAGGAAGAGCTTGACCTGAATTAAGAAGATCTGGGTTCCGTGACTTGGAGCAATTTCCTAACATTTCTGATCTGCCTAAGGTTCTGCTGAAAGTTAAATAAGGCAGTTATATAAGCTACCCAAGCATCAATAAATCAAAAGTGTAATGATGCCCAAACTGAATCTGAGGCTTTCACACGTATTTGCTGAGCCCGTGTGCCTTCCCTGTTCCAGCAAAGCTTATGAAGTGAAGGCACAGCTCTGCTCCGGCCTCAGCCTCCCTCAGGATGGCACAAGGCTGTGCAGGTGAGCGTCCCCGGGTCCTTTCCTGACTGCAGGTTCACAGGGGGAGAGACTGCCTGAGCATCTCGCCCTGTCTTAGCAGCTCCCTTCCAGATAACCAAGAGAAAGGTCTCACAGCTGCTGAGCAGCCCCTGATGGTGGTGACATGGTCTGCAGGCCATGGCTGCTTTTTGTTGACTCATTTATCTCGAAAGCTTGAGGGAAGTAGAGGAACACAGGAACAGCGATTAGCTCTGCGATTCTGTGGGGGATTGAAGTTCATTCCCCTGCAACAAAAAGCATGTTCCTAGCCCACGTGTACCTGCCTGGAGATGAGTAACCCTGGTCCTGCCTCTCCCAACCAGTCATGCTTCCCATTGCTTTGTGTCAGGCTGGAAAGTTCCGGAAGGTCTGCTGCTAAGCACGGAAGCTCTTGCCTGGTGTCCTGTAGTGCCTGGCCAGCTGCTGCTTCCCTCCCCACCCCAAACCCGGCTTTGAGGGCTCTTCAGTACCACTCAGTTACTCTGTTCATCTGCCTGAGCTTCCCCCTTGTCCAGCCTTAATTGAACACCGTCATGAGCTTGGCCTCCTCTCCTGAAGCCTGTTGTGTAGGTGGGAGGGCTCCTCCCATCTCCCCTCCCGTCTTCTACCATCAGAACTCTTCCTTTAACCATCATCTCATTTCTTCCCTTTGCCAGAACTCACGTGCTGTGTGTCAGACTGAGCTACCCCTGTTCCACCCTACGGTCAAGACCTGCTGCCGTCCTGCTGCTGTTCACAGCTGTGCCTGGGAAGGAGGCAGCCCCATCAGTGGGGACCTCTTTGTGCCCTGATGGGCAGGGAAGGACCTGTAGCAGTGCACCTTGCGCATCTGCACCTCCATGTGTGGACCTCGCTGCGCTTCCCCCTCGGAGACCTCTCTGTTGCTGTCCTGGAGCAGAGCTGCCTGAGCATCAAGGGGAGGAGGGAGCTATGCCACCCCTCGCTGCTCCTCAGGGCCCCTCTCCCTGGAATGGCGGCCTGCATGCATCTGTTCAGCTCTGTTTCATGCTGTGTAATTATGTACAGGAGGGACGTGGCATCCATCTGAGCGGATGCTTCTTAAGAAACGTGCCAGTGTTTACGCAGTCCTAGGTGTTGCCTGCCTCCGCGGTTACTGTCTCAGCTTTTTCTTGATAGGCTGCTTTTTCCCTGCAGGGGAAGTGTTACTCCTCCCCTGCTGCATCCTGCACTCCATCCTGCCCCTGGACAGGGTACCGGGCTCTAATGGAAAGATTGCCTGGCAGCCTGTGGGCACTTTTCAGCATCTCCATTACTAGAGAGAGGTGGTGTCCAGCCCGGCTGTGCTTGGTCCCCCAGCAGCTCCAAGGAGAACAGCTGTTAAATGTGCCAAGCATGCGTAACACTGTGACAGAGCCACTTGCTTACTACCCTGCTTCCTTACAACAAACCAGCTGGTGCAGTACCATCTCCAGAGGGGGCCTGCAGCAGGTTGCATATCACCCTGCTTTATTTTAAGAAGATAGACCACTGTTGGTGTCACCAGGGCTCGTGAGAGAACCAGGATTGTGGGCATGAGCATGCAGGTGCCCATGCTCACCACCCCTCGAGCCCTGTATTTCTGCAAGCAGATGTGCCTAGGCCCAGGAGCCTCCCCTGTTTTATTGATATGAAGTCCTCCTGTCTCCTCTGGCTCAGCCTTTGGTGGCATTTCAGCTGGTCACTCTGCTGCCACCACATAGAGGTGCAGGTGTCAGATTAACTCAGTTCTTGGTTAGCTCCCTAATCAGATGGAGCCTGGCCACTTCCCTCTCCGGTGGCAGGGACAGACTGCTGGGCACAGGATCTGAGTCTAAAATACGACCGGAGTCTTAACACCAACTGCCAGCCTCCTTGAGTAGCAGATAGATGACCAGTGTGATGCCCAAATGGGCTGTTGCGGGGCAGAGAGGCCACAATTGTACTGACCCCCCTCCCAGGAAAAGAGAACAGGCACAGAACTGATGCTAATGTCCCTCATGTCTGGCTCAGCCCAACAGACAGTGAGGCATGTGATGTCTGAGGACAGGTCTCCAGTTGCAGGCTCCCTGGTCCTTCCCCAGTTTTGCAGGCACCTTGGCTCATCTGAGGGGTGGCTTCTTATCTTAGCCTTCTGTGCAGTTGATGGGGCAGGGATCCTTCTCACCATTGCCATCTGTTGGATTGTCCTGGTCTTGGTTTGGGGCCCCAAGGGCGGGACCCGTGTCAGAGGTACTCTGAGAGAGGCAGATGGAGGTGGCGGGCACCCCAGGTTTCCACAGAGAGGTCCTTTTCACCAAGACCCCAGGAGAGAGAAAGTGCCTGGTTGTGCCTGTCTGTGCCCTGCTGTGTGTTGACTGTGGCCATGGACATACACGGGGAGGTGACTGCTTTCCCTTTCACTGTCCTTCTCCTGACTACCATCACACAGTGACTGCTGATCCTAGAAGCATCCGCATCCCCGTGAGAACAAGCTGCTGACTCTGTCCCTTCTCCCTGTGGGGGAGCCCTTTCGCCCAGGTGCAGGAGACCCGGAGTCAGGCTAGGCCAGAAGAGGAGCAGGGCTGTCATCCTGCCCTCATGCACAGTTAGCTTTGGGAAACTGCTCATTTTGAGCTACTTACGCCCGCAAGGCTGCCTCTCACCTTGTCAGTACGAGCTCTTGGTTTTGCAGATTCATCCCCTGGGCAGATTATGTGGCCAGAGATCTTGTTTCATCTCTGGAAAGTGCTCAGCCTTGCAGTGGAACTCTCCAAGGAATGGCAGGCAGATGCTAAAGAGCCCCTACTCTTTACCGATTGAGCACTTGGTGTTGGGGAGGACTTTGCTATCAGTCATGCACTTTCTGGAGCCGTGTCAGTGGATGGACACCATGGTTTAGCGGGTGTGAGTGGACATGCCCAGGCCATCTGCACAGCCTGTGTGGATGTGCCTTGGCTCTGGGCTTCCTGTGTAAGGACATAAGCTCTGTGACAGCTCCTCTGCCCAGTCATTGCCACCAGATCTGATGTTCTCTGTGTGCAAAAGATGACAGTCAGGATGTAATTGCTGGAACCTCTCACAGCTCTTCCTTGTCCACAGCTTGTCCAACCAGGAAGCAGGAACACTGTATGTATTTAAACTGAGCGATTTTAAGCCCAGTGATTCGTTTGACACAGAGCAAGAGCTGAAATGGGAGCTGAGGCAACCTGGAAGTGGGGAATAACAGGAAGCTGCCACCACCCTCTGGAAACCTGGACAGAGTGAGGAGGCCGTGTTACCAGAGCCCCGCGGCCCAAGTCACCAGCTCGGGCCTGGGACCACAGAGGCCCATTTGTTAGGAGCTGGAGCCAGAAAGAGGCACAGTCCCAGGCAGAGAGGGCGGAGAAGGCTGACCTCTCTGTCCCTCTCGCCTTCCTAGCTGATGCATGGCCTAAGGGCCTGGGACGGCCGCTCTCAGGTCAGCCCTAGCACGCAGCAGTGAGGGATGAGGAGGCGCACGAGCCCTGGCCTTGATCTGCTGTGTCCTGTCCCAGTCTGATGCTTGTAGCTCTTGTCTAGAGACCTGCTGAAGGAGACAAGATCGCCTCCCTGGGGTTCCTAGAGAGGAGAGTGCTTTTGGAAGGGAGGGGGAGCCTCTTTCCTTTACATTTGTCCCTGTTTTCCCTCAGGAAAGCCATGTCCCGGTTTTTCGTGTACCCCTCTGTCCCTCTCTTGCACATCTCTGGTTTTCCTAGCCAGTGATCCTGTCCCCGAGCCTGCCTCAGTGCCCAGAGTGCTTCCCCAGGCCAGCACATCCCAGTGTGGGCTCGGAGTGGACTGTCTGTATAAAGATCTGTCTACTAATCAGTTTGTATCGTGTTTCCAATAAATTTCTGGAAATTCTGCCTGGTTTTAGGCTGTCCTTTGCTGAAGCAGTGGCTCGGCTGGGAGGCTGTGACCCTGCACACTCCAGGAGGTCTTTCCGTCCAGGCTGAGTCCCCCTCTCCACCCCCAGGACAATAGGGAGGGCCAGATGATCCATGCTCCCAGGCACACGGGGACGCTAGCAGCCCTTCTCGGGACTGCATCTTCCTCTGTCTCACTGGCCATGGGCTGGGCATACAGAGGGGCCCACAGCCCAGGTCACCTAATAGTGACCTTTGACCTCGTGTCCCCCAGGCCTGGTAGTGAGAAGAGCAACAGGCTGAGATTTCCACATCAACCACTGCTGGGGTCACGTTCTGGAGACACACAAGGGCGCGTGGGGCTGGTGTGCCCCGCACAGGGCTGCTTTGCCACACTGTTTCTGTGGGCTCTGCCTCAGTTGCTGTGCCAGGGTTATTGCAGGGGATGAAGTGTGGCTTGCCTGAGACCCCTCTTTCCTTCGTGGATGACACTTGTTTGCTGGGCTTTGTGAGAGAGTGAAGGGCAAAAACCGAAAAGGAGACACAGTTCCAAAATTTCCTTGGAAAAACAAGACGTGACACACATTGTATTAGCCACTTTCCTTTTCTGGGACAAAATACGTGACACACAACTCTGTGGAGGACGGATTTATTTGGGCTCAGAGTCTCAGTCCCCGTGGCCGGCTCCAAGCAAACATCATGGTGAATGGGCACGGCGGAGGAAAGCTGCTTAGCTCATGGCACCCAGGAAGCAGTGTGCAAGATAAGGAGCCAGAGAGGAGCTGGAAAGAATCTGTAAAGTCACCCCCCATGATCTACCCCGGCAAACCAGAAGCCTGCTCTGCTACACTAGGCCTCTCCCAAGCCAGTCAAGTTGACAATGAAGATTAACTGTCACACGTGCAAAGGGTCCTGGAGATGAGAAAGTGTGATTATGGCTGCGGCGGGATGTGTAGGAGTCTGGAGCTGAGGAGAAGGTACAGATGAGTCACAGTCAGGGAGCGTTTTGTAGAAGCTGAGGACGCTAAGCTTAGACACAGTAGTCCCTTTGAATAAGCCCTTAAGGGACTCTGCGGTTCTTGGCTTCTTCTCCTGAGGCCTGATAGTGCCCCCTCTTTCTGGAGTCTCCCTGCAGCTCAGTGCCTCCCTCTCAGCCCTTAGTTCCATGCCAGGGCTGTGTTTTTATGGCCAAGCTTTCTGGGGAGCTGCTTCTCCTCTATCTGCCTCTGGCAGTAAATCTCATAACCAGTGGAGGTTCGGGTGCTCAACTCTCCAGGCTCCTCATGTAGGTTTTTCACTGGCAACATGTTTTCTTACTCCCGGAACCAGCTATTCCAGTCATGTGCCCCCCTAAGGCTTCACCCACTCAGACTCAAGCCTCCTGAGAACCTGGCAACCTTCTTCCTGTCCACCCCAAGACCTGTGGCAGTGGTGCCTTCCCTCAGCTGAGGATGTGTCCTATCTCTTGAGAACAGATCCATCCTCCTGCCACCCATAGGCTGGATCTGTCCCCACTCCTTTTGAGCCTTGCAGTAGAGGGTCCTGAGTCAGGTTGGACTGCTACTTACTAGCTGTATGACCTTGGGCAAGTCACTCAACTTCTGCACCTCAGTGTTTTCATCTGTAAAATGGGATAATAATAGTATCTACCACCTAGGCCTAAGAAAATTAGTGTAGATAATTGGGATTGGTCATTTCATTCTCACTTTGCACCTGTTCATCTCCTTTCCCTTCTCCCCTTGCCACTGTATTCCAGACTCCCCATTCAAGTCAGGAAACAACTTCTGTTGAGCCAGCAAAACCTCTGCCCCCCACGGCTAACGGGCAAGTTTACTGAAAGGCGCAAGAGTTGTCTCCATTTCTGCAAATCTCATTCATGCCTCAGCTCATTGTAGTGCTCCCAGCCCCTGCCCCGCCCTCCCCCAGCGCTCTGGGAAGCTGCTGCCGTGAAGTCTCTAATGACTGCTGACTGCGAGCAGGGCTATTCTTAGCCACCCTGTCTGAGCAGCAGGCTTGGGAGCTGCGGTCATGGTCTCGGTCACATAGTTACTTTCCTTCCTTCGTCACACCAGCCCCCGAACAATGCTAAATACATTCAGATGTTTCTGTGAACTACTTTTTCAGATGTTTTTACACAGGTAATTTCAGATGTGGTGTTAGTCACCTGTGTGTCCCTCCTATTGGCTCCTGTCTTGGTTTACCCCTCCAGTTCATTATCTTTATACTACCGATGCATATGTATGAGCCCGTAATCAACTAGAACATGCTTGTGTATTAAATTTTATGTAAATGATAACCTATCACTTCTCGAAAAGCTTTTTTAAAACAGGGAAGGCATTGTTAACCCAGTAGGGTATCTATCACAGATGCTTGATCAGACAAGGTCAAAAGGTACACTTGGGTTTTCAGATCAGCTTCCTTGCAGCATGCAACTAGGAATCGCTTTTGAAAATGCCCATCCACCCACCTGGGCCCAGCCTTGCCTTGCCTGGCTCCTGGCCTGCAGATGTGTCCAGCTGGCTGAGGCAGTAGTGCACAGAGTGACCTCGTTCCTCCAGGCCAGGACTTACCCCTGTGGCACTGCCCCCTGCAGCAGTCCCTCAGTCCTGGCAGGCACCTCCTTTGTAGCTTGTGGTACACAGCTCACTGGGCCTTGCAGCCCCTCATGAGGCACAGCAGGTCCAGCTCTGGTGGAGGGTACAGGCCTGGGAAGCAGCATAACCCAGGGCCCAGGATCACACTGGGATAAGTGGAGGCAGGGAGCTGCACAAGGGCAGTAACTAGGGTGCCACCAGAGTACAGCCAGAAGAGGGCCACAGACCCATGCCAAGATGGTGCCAGGTGAGAAGCAGACAGCACAGATGGTCACCGGCATGGCCAGCGTGCCCACAGCCCTCTGTGGACTGCCCATCTGGCTGACCAGCGACCCAGTCACAATGTGATGCTCACAATGACCAAGGGCATGGGGACCGGTGGCACTCAGCTGCAGCGTATGCAGTGCCTGACACCTGGGAGCGAGCCTGAGGTTTCGTGCCCTTCCTGTAACAGACTTGAGAGACTGGAATCGGTGTTGGGGAGCAGATTGTCCTGTGTCAGTCTTCTGTCGCTGTGACAAAGTGCCAGACATTAACAACTTCAAGGAAGAAAGGTTGATTCTGGCTCACGCTGCAAGCATTCTAGTCCCTGGTCTGCTGGTTCTATTGCTTTAGGCGTGTTGAAGCAGAGACATCTCGGCAGACAGATGTGGCAAAGGAAAGTTGCTCACCTCCATGGCAGCCAGGAAGCAGCATGAGCGAGGAAGGGCCTGGGGAAAGTGACACCTCCAAGGTCACATTGCAGTGGCCCACTTCCTCCACCTGGCCCCACTGCCTCGTAACCCATTCAGTGATGAGCACTTTGACAGGTTAGCCCCGATAAGGTTAGTAGTCTCAGGGCCTCTCCAGGGGTCTCAGTCCATCAAGCTGACAATCAAGATCAACCATCCAGCCCCAGATGGCCTGACCCGAGTGAGCTGTGCTCACTGAAGCCCGATCAGTACTCCACCTGCAGGAAGCTGCTGAGCACACTGACCTAAAGCCACAGAGTGGCTGGGGAAATTGTGAACAGGCCAATGTCACAGGCAGTGGCCTCAAAGTGTCAGTTTTTCAGAGGAAATGCTAGTTCCCACGAGGGGACAGGCTGGTGAGGAGAAACGCAGCCTGGACCAGGCTTATCAGGCACGCTATGGTGGAGGTCCTGGGCCGGGTGGGGACACAGAAGGTAAAGTGCCACACTGTTCCTCATCAGGCTAGGAGGTGGTGGGTGGGGAAGCAGTGGGGAGCAGGCCTCTTCTGAAGCCCCAGCACAGTGGTGAAAGTGAGGGAGAGAGGAAGAGGGGGAGCGGGAGCTCAGGCTGGAAAATTCCACAGGCTGCTAGGGCCAGGGACCTGAGAGATCCTGGAGTCCTAGCCCTGTGTGAGTGTTGAGGGAAAGATGAGATGAGTGTCCCATCACCAGCCACCACAGCGGCTCAACACCCTGGTTTTCACTGTGGAGGGAGATCCAGTGTTGACCCTGCAGCCCTCCCTCCATGCCGGGCACTGAGTGGCCTCACACGGGGGCTCTGAGCCAGTCTGGCCATCACATCCCTGGCAGGGGGAAAGCAGGCTCAGCAGGGGTGAGGTGAAAGCCTCGCAGGGATGAGGTGCGGAGAGTATTCACAGCCCAGATGTTAACTTCCTGAAGGTGGGAGCTGGTCCTAGCACCCTGGGCTCTCAGGGTCACATGCACCTATTTTATAGGTAGGGGCTGAGTGGCATCTCCTGCCCCGCCAGTGCTGGCTGCCAGGACTCTGGAGGCAGCAGTGCACTGTCCTGGGAGGAGGAGATGAGAAGCCAAGCAAGACCCACCATCCTGCTCCTGACTCCAGCTACGAGGGCTGCTTAGCTCTGTCTGCCTGCTGTGTGTCCCGAGCCTACGGTGTGTCCCGGGCCTACTGCAGTCCAACTTTCCATTGCTCCCAGATCCCCGATGCTCCCAAGTCTGTGATGGTTCCAAGTCTGTGTACATAATAAAGTTCCCTCAGGCAGAAGGCTCCCCTGCCAAGTTTCCACTGTCACAGCACTGGATCCCAGAGGCTTCTTCCCAGGAGCCACCCTGGCAGCCCCACCAGCATTCACTGCAGGGTGGAGAACGGGAGGTGGGCTCTGAAGTACAAGGTACAAGTGCCCCCCCCCCCCAGGTGTTCTTTGGAGCTTACAGCTGGGCCAGTGGTGATGAGGTCTCTGGCTCCTGAAAAACTGGGCTCTGGTGGTTCAAAGTCTCCAGGGTCCTACACCTCCTGCCCTCAGCCTCGGGATTTCAGGCAGTGTGAACCCTGCACCCTCCCAGGATCCTCTGGGCTTCACTCGTACCCCCAACTTCCATCTGACCAAGGCCAAAGGCAAAGAGGCTGTGACCACAGGGGAAGCAGAGGCTTCCATGCCTCGCTGAGCATCGTCATAAAATCTGGTGCTGTCATCTTCTTGGAGAGATTGAGGAGAATGTGAGGTCATTTATATAACAACTACCAGGGGATGCCGGGGCATGGAGCTGCGGTTCAGAAAAAGAGAAGGCGTATTTTCCGTGCCTTCCTGTTTTGGATCAGGCCCACCATCGGTGCAAAGCCCACACTTTTCTCCAGGCTGCTCGTCTGTGACCTTTTCCCCAGGACATCTGGGTTCTCCTTCCTCTCTGTGCACGGCAGCACCACACACTGCCACAGCCTCGGTGCACCAGGCCTCTGTCCTGGCTGCATGGGCATTTGGAGGAGGCCAGAGATGTCCCTTCTCAACTTTCAGGAGAGGAAAGCCTTGGAGTACAGAGGTGAGGAAGGTGCCCCGTCCAAGGCCAGAAGTACCTTCAGCAAAGTCAGACCCCTACGCTGTCATCAAAGCTGTGAGCCATCAGGCTGGGGTCACAGAGACAGGGCTCAGGTTCTTTTTTGTAGAGGAAGCTCTGGCCTCCAGCTGTTCTACCCAGGCCCAGCTTCCGCATTGCTAGGTGACCTTTCCCAGCCTGTCACTGAAGTCCCAGGGCGAGCCTGGACCATCACCACCGCTTGCAGGCCCTTGCCCCAAACCATATTAATGGCGCTGCACATTGGGCAGGTATTTGTATTGTAACCTTCCTGTGTTTTCTACAGTAGCACAAATCACTTCTGTTGTTCGGAAGGAAACTCAACAGAAGCTTTTTTAAAAAATTATGTTAGATCAACCAACCAACCAATCAACAAATATCTGCAGTCACGTGATGCTGTAGCATCCCAGATGCAGCACAATCACTGGGGAACACAAGGGGTCAGATGCCCAGGACGGCCTTTGTGTGTGACCCACCGGCTCTCATTCTTTGTTATTTTATTAGGATTTTTGTGTGTGATACTGGAAATTGAACCCAGGCCCTCTGCCCTGACCAGCACCCACCCGCTGCCTTATTCTTTTTTTATTTTGAGACAGGATCTTGCTAAATTGCCCAGGCTCAACCAAACTTGCAATCCTCTTGCCTCACCAGGAGCCCTTATCGAGGGTCTCCCTGGTGGCAGCAAGTGGGCTGCAGGGACAGAGGGTGGGGCACCACACCACCTGGCCAAGCCTGAGGGGCTGATGGCTGGTAAGAGAAAGGGGGCCTCTAGTGTCCCAGGAGCCTGGCATCCTGGCTGAGAGTGGCAGGAGGGTGAGGGACATGAGGTCGGGACCTGGCAGGGCCACACAGGTCCTCAGCAGCCAAACATGGAACAGCAGCGGAGACCAGGAGGGCTGTTTGGCAGCACGGCTCCCACGACAGCACCGAGGCTGCTCTGGACCCCCAGCGAGAGGGTCACCCCAGTGGCTTCTTGCGGGCAGGATCCTGAGTCACAGACAGGGCCACAGAGTCTTGTGCTCGCTCCCACAGGTACCTGTGGGGACACAAGTGGACAGGGCATAGGCGAGGCCAGACTATGATGACCCCAAGGAAAGGGGGTGGTCATGAATGTAGGGGAAAGTCCCCTCTGCCCACTCACGAGGTCCCAGCTGGCACCAGGACGCTGTCATCAGGGGCCAGGCTCAGGTGCTGGCCCCCCATCATCACCACTGACGAACCCTCCTGTGAAAGAAAAGCAGCAGAATTTAACAGCTGTCCAGCCCCAACACCTGTCTGGATGTCCCAGGTCTGTCCTGCAGGGCAGGCTACGGGAGTCGCAGCCCAATCCCTGTGGATGGGAGGTGGTGCCACCCCATCCCAGGTCCCACGTGCCAGCTGCCACAGCCACACGTCCACGTCCTCTCCTGGACCTTTGCTGCTGCCTCGTCCGTGCGCGACTACCTGATGGAAGAGAAACAGACTTTTCTGGTGTTTCCTGCCCCACACAGTCGATGCCTCTGACCCTGGCTGGCCACCAGTCAGCAGGCTGGTGAGGTGGACACCACCAGGAGCAGAGACTGAGAGCCAGGAAGGAGGGTGCCCTGTGTGCTGGCCCCTCACACGCGCATGTGCCGGAGGCCCCTCTCATGGTGCCTCCTAGGTACACAGGGCCACACACTCCTCAGCTCACCTCCCTCCCTTCCTTGGGCATAGGGAGGAGGGAGGAGGAGGGTGAGCCTGTGGCCTCCCTGACCTGCAGGACTCAGGGTTCCTGACGGCAGGGAGTGGAAGCGTGCGGTAGGAGCAGCAGAGTGCCAGGTGGCTGTGGTTGTGACAGTTAGGGAGGGTTTGTGGTGCAAGGGCCCCTGGGCCCCAGAGGCACGGCAGGCCTGTGTCCAGCGAGCATCCCTCCTGGGGTGATTAATTCCAACTGCACAGATTGCAGGGGGGCAAACAAAGGCGCAGTGAACCCCAGGGCTCCCTGCACACCCTGCCTCCTGATTGGTCCCATGATGCGGCCACACACTCGGGCCTCTTTCCTCATCACTGGGGAAGCCCACTGTCTCTCGGATGAGGTCTCCCACCTTGCACAGCTCGGCGGATCCCCAAGGCCTGGGCCTGCCTGCGGGCACTCCACAGTCAGCAATCCAGTTCGCAGCCTCCCTCCCACCCCGGCTCTTACAGATCCCAGCAGCTTGCAGGAGGCTGACCCAACCTCCACACCTCTAAATCTTCATGCTTCTCTCTAACCTACAATGCTCTCGCCACCTCCCTTTTTTCTTTTTGCAAATTCTTACACAATCTTTAAAATACTACGTGTGTGTCACCTCCTCAGGTAACCTTCCCTGACTTCTCTCCCAGCCAGGGTTTGAGACTGGGTTCCCAGAAACCCAGGGCTGTTTACCTGGGTCTCATAGGTGTCACCAAACAGGTTGAGAGATGTGCCCGCCTGCAGCTCCTTGCGGTGACCATCCAGCCAGGCCTTCAGGGACATGGGCTCCATGACGGAGCGTGTGTTCAGAGGGAACGGTGGCTTCTTGAGCAGCTGGTCTGCGCAGTGCACAGCTAGGTCAGTGGGCCTGCCCAGCCCCACAGATTCCAGGAACCCAACATTTAACACCCAGGTCTATGATCAAGCAGCCATATGAGGTACGCCTGGTGTTGTCTTAGTACCCTGGGTACTAGGTGGAGTACTCTAAGAGACTCCTCTTGGGGCTCAACATAGACCCATCTTGTGTGTAGGGGAATGGGGGCTGCCATGGTCTCACCAGGGATGGGCTTTCCTGTTCTGTACTGCTCTGAGCGGAAGAACCTGCAGGGACAGACCAGTGTTGGGACTTCCGTCCTCACCAACCTTTCCCTCCCAGCACTATGGGAGCCCCTCTGTACCCCATCCCAAGAGGGGAGACTTCTCCCCAGTTTGCAGCTCCAACGGTGCTGTTGCAGACCCCAGGGCAAGTGAGGGGAAGGCGCATGCCAGGGCTTACTCTTGGATGATGGGGGCCAACTGTGTGCCAAGGTCCTTGCAGTGGAACCACTTCTCATACAGGACGTCCACGGTGTCCCCCACATAGTACCTGCCAAAGCAGAGGTTACCACTTGAATCTAGACGTTCCCCCGGGCCTCATGCAGTCCTCGGTGGAGCTCCTTGGCGGTGCCTTGTTCTAGCGTGTGTGATGCTGGGGTGCTGCTGTGATGGCCCGCCCTGCAGGCGAGTGCTAGGGCAGGTAGCTGGGATGGAATGTAAGGGACAGAGAGTGGGAGACGGATGCTGTTTGCTTCTTTGCTGCCTTCCGCATGCCCCGCTTTGCCATGGATCTCCTCTGCCATGCTCCCCTGCCATGCCAGCTATCTGGGAGCCAGCTGACTATGAACTGAAACCTCTACAACCTGGACCTTTCCTCCTTCAAACTTGGGTGTGGGGTATTTTGTCTCAGCAATGAGAGAAGTAACTAAGATAACAGAGCCCCATCTAGGGGCTTCAATACAGCCCCACTCAGCTCTGGCTCTGCTTGTGGGTGTCTGAGCCCTGGCACAGAGGAGTCTCGTGCCTGTGTTACCTCTGCAGGTGCAGTCCAGGGGCTGATTTTCCCATACACCTAACCCTTGCTTTTGCAAAGCTCACTTATGCCCCTTTAGAGAGCCGAGAGAACTCTGGGACCCAGGGACACTGGGTGCCTTGGCAGGGATTACACAACCAAAGCAGGCCCAACTGATGACAATCTTCAGGGTTTAAAGAGCATCTGAGCCACAAGTATTTTTCCCAAAGAGAAGGCTGAGGTCGAGTTTGAATCCAGGGTTGGTGGCTGGCTGCTTTTAGTCAGAGTAACAAGTTCCAGCAGCCGGCATGTGGAGATGTCCCCAATGAGAGTGTCTTCTCTCAGGTCATGGCTGCCCTTGAGAACCATAGCAGAGCTCTGGGCCCCTTTGAAAGGCGGCCCGTGTGCACGCACACTGCCTTCAATAGGTCACCCGAGCCGTACCAGGGCAGTGCCCTCCTCCCCTGGCCTGAGGAGCCTAAGCCTGGCAGGTGTCAGGAGCATCAGTTAACCGAGTCCCAAGGCCCCACTGCCACCGGCCAGTTCTATCTGCTTTTCAGCCCTCATGAAAGATAAGCAGTCCTGAGGAGCCACATGGGGTCCCAGCTGGCACCCTAAATTCCGTTATGACGGACCTAGCTACTAGCAGGCTGCATAATCGGACTGCAGTGTCCTCCTGGAATTGCTGTTGGAGTTGTATTTTAATGTTGAGTCCTGGATTTTATTAAAGGTCAAAGCAGCCAGATAAATCCATTATTGAATTTGCTATAAAATGTTATTGGGGACACTGTCTTCACATCAGTGGAGGCTGTCTCTCTAAAGCCCCTGGGCTTGGAGAAATTCCTCTAAAACTTTACGGCCTAGTATCTGTCTCTGTAAGAGACCATAACAGAATAATGCAGTAGATTATTATGCAGCCATTAACACTGTGGGGTGATTTTATTTTTTGGTGGTTCTGGGGACTGAACCTCGGGAACACTCAGCTACGTCAGCAGCCCTTTTTGAGACAAGGTCTCCATAAGTTGCCCAAGCTGGCCTTGAATTTGTAAACTTCCTGCCTCAGCCTCCCAAGTACCCTGAATTATAAACTCAGCAACATTTTGTTTTTAAAATAACATAAGAAATATTCAGGAGTTTTTAAAGTTAATGCACAAAACTCACACCAATGTATATAACAAGGCTGCAGTGTGGTCAAGGTACAGATATGCATAGAAAAAACCACAAGGGAAGTCTAAGTGCTTCTTTAGGGTTACTTTAGTGTTCTTTTGTTTTCCCTTTTTTGTTCTTGAAATATAATTCACATACCTTTTTTATAGTAAGTAATTTTAATTTTGTTCATTTTACATTTCTGTGCTTTTCCAGACTTTGAAAGTGAGTGTGCATGAGATTGTTCATTTTAATTTATTTTATTTGTCTTTTTTTCGTTTTTATCGGTACCAGGGATCGAACTCACGACTGCCTGCTTGCAAGGTGGGCGCTTATGCCGCTGAGCTAAATCCCCAGCCCCTTCTGTTACATTTTTAAATCTTCATTTTTTAAAAAATGAACAAGCTCGGTTGTAAAGTGCTTCCCCTTCATGGTGCTGGGTCTGCTGGCTCGCCCCAACTTCGTGATTCTCTAAGCTGAGGAGCTAGGGTAGCAAGCTCTGCTCTAGCAAATTCATCTCCCAGTGCGCAGCTTCTTCTCCGGTAAGGTACAGACGATAGCAGTACCTACCCTGAGCACTCAGTGGATAAATACACACAAAGCTTCTGGCCCACAGCAAGTGTCTCTGCCCCGATGTCTGGGGCAGAGACACAACCAGAGAACTGGTGGAACTGAGCCCTGGCCCTGAGGGCGTGGGGAGCAGCAGACCTCATGAGAAAGCGCAGATTCTGAATCTGGTCTATAACAGCTCCCAGGGGGTCACAGGAACACCTCCTCGTACCCCCACTCCACCCTGCCCTGTCAGCCAGCAAACCTGCATGTGCAGGCTCCCCACAGCACCCTGTCTCCAAGCCTTCCTCTCTCCATGGCCAGGGAGTACTTGAGTCCCTGTAGGATTCTCTCTGCTGTGGTTTGGAGCTGCAACCCTCTGTCCACCCTCCAACTCCAGGGCCAGGAGAAGCTACCTGAGCCCATCCAGCTCTGTCTCCAGCCGCGTCCGCTCGATCACCAGCCCCATGGTGTTGGCAAACCTCTGCGGGGAGTGAGGCACCCTGGCGGGCAGCAGAAATATCTGCAGGGTGAGAGCAGGGACCCACAGGGCTGTGGTCTCTTACAGGGACCTCGAAGCCTGCAGCATCCGGGCATCCCAGCTGACCCACGGGCACCAGGGGCCATGCCCGCCCACTTTGGGCCTGCTCTTGGCCAGCCCCTTCCCCTGCAGGGAATGCCACACTGTGCTGAGGCCAGGGTGGGGCAGGTAGGTGTGCAGGAGAGGGAAAGAGTGGGTCAGGGCCTTGGTCAAGGGGTGGTAGCAGGGTAGTGGGACAGGTCCACCTCACCTCCCCCTGCCGAATGACCACATCCCGGTGCTTCTCTTGCTCCAGGATTCGGAGAACCATGTCCCCTTCCAGCTGGTAAAACACCTGTGGAACAGCAGAGAGCCTGGGACCCTCCCTCTCCCTCTGCCCCGGGTTCCCCTGAACCCGAGAAACTTCTCGAAGATCCGTCTCTGCTCCTTTGAGGGCCTTACTTCCCTGACCCAGGCCACACACAGGAGGGCTGGAGTCACACAGGGACCATGTCTCAAACAAGCAGAGTAGTGATGAAAATACCCAGAATGCCACAGCAGGTTCAGGGCATGTGGCAGGGGACTGAGACTGGGCTCGCTGGAGAACACCAGCATACAGAATTCCCGCATGCTGTGGGTCAGCGGCTGTTCCCAGGGCTTCCCTGTATGTTGTCAGAAACCTTTATAGGCAGATGTGGTGGCACATGCCTAGAATCCCAGCACCCTGCAAGACTGAGGCAAGAGGATTCCAGATTCAAACCACACCCAGGCACTTTAGTGACTTTTTAAGACTCTCTTTCAAATAAAAAAATTTTTTAAAAAGGGCTGGGGTTGTAGTTCAGTTTAATTTTCAGTACTGATAAACAAAAAAAACAACTTCACAACTGTCTCCAAGGGTAGCCAATTCTACAGGGAAAAAAAAAGCCTGAGGCCCAGAGGGTAAAGCAGCTCAGTCAAGGCCAAGGGCGGCTTCATTGTGGATCGGCAGCTGGGATGGGAGCCCGTGTGCGGCCCTTGAGGTGCCCAGCGAGGTGGACTGTGGAGGTCAGCCCAGGGTGGGGTGGGGGGTATGCTCCCTGCGGGGGGCTCCTACCACGTTTATCCTCTTCCCCCCTAAGTCCCGTGATCCCTCTTCATGTACTAATGAGCTCTCCCACGAAGCAGGAGGAGGAGGGAGAGAGGGAGGAAACAGACCAGCTTTCCCTCTCCAGGCTATACGTTACACAGGCGTTAAAAGCTGCAATCAAATGGTTGAAGGGATTTTAATAGTAATTATTATTATCATTATCATGTGAGGAATTAGAAGAGGTAAAGGGTCTATTCACAACATCGCAGGGAAATGCAGGGAGCACAAGGAAGTAGAGAAGAACAACCTTGCAAAGCAAGGTGCAAAGCAAACCCCCCACCCAGTTCACACCTGTAGCCACTCTGGGCTTCCTTCTCCAGCATGCGGCCCTAGCCATTGAGAAGAGCGCCCCCTGGTGCTGGGCACACTCATTTGTGTGACCACAGCTCACGGTTACAAGTATACACTCCAGGGCCAGACAACCTGCCCTCAGCTCTGCCAGGCCACTGTGTGCCCTTGGCCAGCTCAGTTAGCTTTCCTGTGCCTCAGCTTCCTCACCTACAACATGACAGAATCTACTAACAACGAGATGCTGTGAAACCTGCCCGGGAATCTGTACATGAAGGTACTCGGCATCACAGGATAAGCACTCTAGCTGTCAACATGAAGGAGGGCAGGAATTGAAAAAAAAAAGGTCAAAATATTAAAACTGATGACAATAAGGAAAATGTCAATATTTGATGGGAGAGTCAAAATACGAAACTCTATGCAGCCATTGAAAACTTCGCTTTTGCCAGACATGGTGGCACACGCCTGTAATCCCAGCAGCCTGAGAGGCTGATGCAGGAGGATCACAAGCTCGAGTTCAACCTTGACAATTTAGTGACTTAGTGAGACTGCCTAAAATATTTTTTAAAAAGGGCCTGGGATGTAGTTCAGTGTGAAGTCCCCAGGCTCAATGCCAGCACCACCAAAACAAAACAAAGATGGAGCTTCTGAAAAACTAACAATAAAAATGGAAAATGTTATCATGAGACTGGGGAGGCTCTATGCCTAGCTCAGGCACTGAGCTCCAGCGGGCTCTGCCTGACGGGTGAGGTTTTGAATGAGGTAAGCATTTTTCTTTCTGTATTACTCATGTTTCCTAGAATGAAAAATACTTTCATTATTACAAAAATGGCAAGAAAAAAAACCCCTACATGTTCCCCTAGAGGGAACCACTGAATATACCCATCCTCCTGCCCAAACTGAGGAGACCTCTGTGTGTGTGTGTGTGTGTGTGTGTGTGTGTGTGTGTCTCAAGAGGAGGGAAACAGAGGTCCCAGACTTCTGGAGAAGGCAGGAGTCTGCAGGGATGTCTGGGCCAGATTCAAAGCCTCTCCAGACAGGCTGCAGGGTATTAGTATCGTGGAACAAAAACATGAGGAGGCATCGGAATTGTCCTATCTTGTCCCTGCCAGAGGCCTTCCAGGTGATGGGGGCAGTCCTGTTCTGGAGCAGAAGACAGGTCACTGATGGCAGCGCTGTGGGCAGTGCATAAGGAATTAAACAACATTGAGAGGTCTGCGGAGAGCTGGAAGGTTAGGGGTACCGCTCCGGCTGATAGAAGCTAGTGTCTGGCTTCAGGGCCTGGGAAGGCTCTGCGGCAGGCGGATGGAGAGGGAGTGAGACTGGATGGACCAAAGCCTGCTGAGCACACTGAGTCCCCCATCCAGCATGGTCCCCTGTGAGGCTAGGAAAGGTTCAGAGAAGCACACAACTCCACCTGTCCAGGATGGCATGGTTAGTAAGTGATTCGTCTGCCCCCAAACAAGGCATGGGCTCAGTGGGCTCAGAGGGCTCAGAGCAGTGGGTGGTGGCGCTGGGGTTCCTCCGGGGAAAGGAGCCAGGGCCCTGGGAAGGCTGTCACAGAGGCTACACTCAGCAAGGAGGAAAATCTGGCTCAGTCAGTAAGAGGTGTGATTTGAACCCAGATCTAAGCAACTTCTCAGATTCTAGTTGGGTGAAGACAGCAGGGCTAGAGAAGACTCTATCCAGCTCTGAGGCCTCCCCACCCACCCGGGACCTGTGGCATGTATGGTACTCTGCCTGTCTGCTGGGGAGGACCACGCCATCACAAAGCCACACCCAGCCAGGCTCCGGGTCACCTGAGTGTCCTTCCAGAGCAAGGACATTTGCACAGCCCGGCCTGCTCCTCACTAAGCTGCCACCCAGGACTCACCTCCTCTCCATCTGCCTGCCTTCGGGGCCTCGGTGGACACCTACCTGCCAGCAGCAAGGACAGCCCAGGAGAGGGGTGGGGGGCAGATGGTTAGAAGCCAGAAGGGAAGGAGGTGGGGAGTCGTGGAGGTGACATCAGGGCCACCACAGCCACCAGGGTGAGGCTGCCCAAGGCAAGTGGAAAGGCCAGCCATGCCTTGCCCACCACACCAGGCCTCTTCCCTCTCCTCTCTGTCACTTCCACAGAGGCAAGTGGTCCCCGGGGAGGCGTGGCTGCGAGCAGGTGCCCACAGAGGGACAAGGCCCAAGGGGCAGTGCAGAGCCGGGAGCCCACAGTTTCTCTGCCCCTGTGCTGGCACATGCCAGGGAACAGTGTGAGAAAACACTGCCCGAGTGATTCTCCAGGGTTCACTGCCATCCTACGCTGTAGGGAGATGCCAGCAGTGGCGGGGGAGGCTGGTGCCCGAGCTGAACTTTGGGCCTCTATACTGAGTTTTTCCCCCTAGAGACCACTGGCTGGGAACCTGTCTGTCTGTCCTATGGGGGCTGTTTCTAACTTTCCATTTTATTTTTGTCTATGTGTTTTTGGTTAGGTAGTAGCAAAACAGAGTTCAAAATTCAAGGTGTGAAAGGGCGATCAGTGCGGTCCCTGCCCGGGCACCCTCTAGGTAAGGAGGGGTCACCCAGCCCTAGCCCACTTCCTCAGCCCTGGGCCTTCAACCCAGGCCCACTACTCCGCCCTTTGTTCCCTTCCTTACTCCCCTCCTGGTCCCTGAATCCCCTCCGCCTGGGCTAGGCCCAGCCTACTGTCACTTTGTGTTCCTGGACTTTGACCCTGTCTTCACCGGGAGAGAACCTGGCTCCTGGCATCAGAAGAGGTGACTTGGCCATGGTCCCCTAATGCTAGCAGCTCTTCTGGAGACCAATTGTGTGACAGAGGTTAGGATGGGGAGCACTGAAGTAGGGACAGCCTGCCTGTGTATCCCAGAGTGGATGCCCCCAGAGCCACAGCTGTCACCCCAGGAGCAGGGCTGTGCCCTGGAGCTCCTCCTGCAAAGGTCCCCGGCTCATCCTTGAGGAGGCTGCCAAAGGTGTCCCTGTTCACGCCCAGCAGTTTCCCTGTGACTCTAGCTGTCCTCCTCCAGCTGCAATCACCTGTCCTCGTCTCCGGCCCACAGGTGAGTGTCTCCTTCCCCAGGCACCCAGGCCAAGCTGGGGCAGAGGCAGCCACGGCCTACCTCCTCGCCCTCCTCGATGTGATAGTCCTTCCTGATGTTGGGGCCACCAACGAACATGATTTTGAGCTGTTCCTGGTGCCTGCAGTGGAAGAGGCGAGGGAGGTCCTGGAGTGAGGAGGGAGGGGGCACAGGGCCTACAGGGGACAGGAGGGGGCCTGGCACCCTTGGGGGAAGGGCCTCACCCTCACCCCCAGCTGTCTGGGACTGTGTATGCCCCCCTATCCTCTGACTCAGTGGGGAGCAGCATGGCAGGGGGTCCATGCCTTCTCTACCTGGGTCCCAGGGCTGTGCTCAGGGTCTCTAATTCCAGGAATGCTAGTGGAACCCTCCATGCCATCTGGTTATGAGACCCTCCAGTCTCCACTGGCTGGGGAGGCCTGCCTCGGGGAGCTCAGGAGACTGTGACATCTAGCAGGGGCTCCAGATAGCACTGAGGCAGTGTGGTGTGTGTTTAAAAGTACAGGTGCTACAGCCAGACTGCTGGGCACCAACCTCAGGCATATTGCTTGACACTGCCGGCCTCAGTTTCTTCATCTGTAAAATGGAGAGATAGCACTTAACTCATAGAGTTTAAGTGAATTATGTAAACTCATATCTGGAGGCTCTCAGAACAGTGTCTTGAATATGGGAAGCACTATTTAAAGTGTGCTAACATAAAGACACCTAACGTAGCCCTCTTGTTTACAGCTGACTTTGACAAGCTCAGAGGGGGTCACATAATTGGAGAGTGACAGAGTCTGAGCCAGAGTCCACCCCCTGCCTCACAGTGCACACAGCCAGCTGTTTGGAACTTGACAGGGAGCCAAATCTCTGCTGTCTCCTGTTGTGTCATCTTTTACAGGACAGATACTGCTGTTCCTCCAGCAGGACACAGCCAGCCCCCTGGCAGGGGAGGAGCAGGAGCTGGAGTTGCTAAGCATGGGTTGTGTGCACAGGGCCCAACAACAGCAGGTGGGGCCAGGTCTTTCCTAGGGCCTGGAGCATCACCAAAGACAGGCATAGAAACCATTTGTGAACCCAGATCTCTGCAGCAGAGAGGCTACCAGTACAGATGAGGTAGGAAGGCAGTGAGGGGCTGGGGGCCTGAGCCCCCACACTTAGATTACATGTCCTGCCAAGTGCCCTTTTCTGTGAGTTATTTTCCAGCCCAGGGGTGGGGACATAGTGCCTTGTTTTGGGGGAGAAACACACATTTCTCATGCCCTGAAGTTTAAAAAGATGGTTGAGGTTATCTGGCAGGAAGCAGCTGGCCCCTGCACGTCTGAGCTTCAGGATCTTAAGCTGTGTGCAGGGGAGACATGCTCTGAGACACTGGGGGAAGGACAGCTCAGGACAGAGCCGAGGCTGAAAGGTGCACAGCCCTAGTGGTGGGGTTGGTCTTGGGAATGATTTGAGGAGGCTGGACTAGGACGCATGCTGAGACCAGCCCCAAGTATGGACTTGGCCTCAGGGTACCTAGGAGAATCAGAAATTTTTTCCTTATATTAACTTTACTGAACTATAATTTAGGTGCACATGGAAAGGCCTTGCAAGTCCATGCCACAATTATTTCAACCCACCAGTCAGAACACATAAGCCAGATCACGCCCCTCCTCTGCTCAGAACTCCCACAGCTGCTCCCCTCCCGGGGGTGTGACAGGCTGACTCCTGCCCCATTCTTGTGTCTAAGTCCTAGAATGTGACCTCATTTAAAAGCAGGGTCCTCACAGATGTTATGCTAGGATGAGGTTACACTGGGGGCCGGGGTGCGCCCCTTAGCTAACAGGACCGAGGTTCTTTCATGCCCAGGAAATGCTCAGGCACTAGGGGCTAGAATAGACCCAGCTTTGGGGCAATGTTGCCTGTGAGCCATGGTGGTGTCAGACAGGTGACCAAGAGGGTCCTTGGACTTTGGAGTCAAACTGTTGCATAGGCTTGAGTTCAGACCCTGTCCTGCACTGGCTGTGTGAGAAAGTTACTTATTAAGCCCCACCTCCCAGGACTCCTGTGAGAATCACATGAGTTGATGACACTTGGAGTCTGTGGCCTGTCTGGGGGCAGTGAAGGTAGCCATCTGGGCAGAGATGACTTGCAGTAATTTGGGGGAGTGACCTAGATGTGGGAGCTGAGGGTCTGGAGAGGGAGAAGACCAGAGGTGAGGGCCCCAGAGGTCTTTGGGAGAGAGAGGACAGGTGGTGGTGGGGTTCTATTGTAAATGTATGTGTTCATGCTCCAGTACACACATCTGCACCTGCAAAGAGGCCCTGGGAAGACAAATAAATCAAAGTTCCCCAAAGAGCTGATGCTGGGACTCCATCTTTGCTTGTGGCTTCCTGAACCGGGCTGGAGTGAGGGATTCAGCTGTCCCCAGACCCAGGTTCTGCTGGCACTCCGGGCCCTGAAAGCCAGCTCTCCAACTTTTGAGTTTCCCCCAAGTGCAGCAAAGGTGCTTGGGCCTGGGAGAAGTGCACCGTGCCACCTCATCTCTCACAGCCTGAGTCAAGGCCACAGTCCCCAGAAAGAGGAACAGACCCAAGCGGAACCCGGAACAGCTGTCCTCGCCATCCCTGAATCCTAGAGCGGGGAGAACAGCATCGCCCTTTTGCAGGCTCCCCCGTGAGAGGATTCTCGGGCAGCGGGGCGGCGAAGTGTTCGAACAGGAGCAGGAGGTGAGGACAGCGGGTGGATATGGGGGTCCCGGGGACTCACATGAGTTTGTTGCAGACCGGTGGCTGGAAGGAGGCCCGGTTCTCCTCCACCCAGGTTTTCACGCGCAAGAGGCGCTCCATGCCTCAAGCCCGGCCGCCGCCTCTGGGTGCGATCCCCCAGCCTTCGCGGTCGCGAGTGTCCTCCCAGTAGGAGGAGTGAGGCTCTGCCCGGCGCCTGCGGGCTCTAGCCGATCAACATCCCGGAGGTCAAAGGGCGGAGCAACGCCCACCACTCCCGGGCGGGAATTTAGGTCTGAGCCCCAGCGCTAGGACCTCGGCGCCCTGGTGGGGAGCAGGGCCGAGTGGTCTGCAGGGCGGGGAGCGGCGACCTCGCCAGCGTCCGGGGCGCCCCGCACCCGAGCTGGAGGTGGGAGTCTGCCCCCCATTGGGATCCAGACCCGTCCTAGCCGTTTGTTCCCAGAGTTTCTAGTTGCGCCCCAGGCAATCCCCGACGAGGCCCCAAAGAAATACTGTAACGGGAAGCGGGGTGCAGGGGCGCACACGCCTGTAATCTCAGCACTCAAGGAGGCTGAGACAGGAGGATGGAACTGTCGGGTCCTACCTGGGGAATTTTGCAATTTAGCGAAATCTTATCTCAAAATTAAAACATAGATAGAGCTGGAGTGGTAGGTCAGTGCGGAAAGTCTTGAGTTCAATCCTTAGTCCAGCAAACAAACTCAGAAATGTGGCGGAGAGAGCTCAAATGTGAAACGCGAGCCTTTTGCGTAGCGGTGTCGACACTGGACGGAAGCCTCAGTGTTCTCACCTGGATGCACAGAGGCTGGGGTGCGCATGGAAGCAAAGGTGTGCAGCGGCGAGCGGGGGTGAAGCCCGGCGCCAGTAGCCCTCTCCGGCGCAGGCCCCGCCGTTGCAGCCCGCGGCCCGGGAGCTGCGCCGGCAGGCGGAGAAGCGGCGGTGCGCAGCGCTGCAGGAGCGCGGGCGCCGGGCGGGGGACCCCGGGCGCGGGCTGGAGGGCGCGCAGAGCCCGGGGCGTGTGGGGACCGGGGCAGGACACTGCGCTCTCCGCCGGAGCCCTAGAGGGCGCTGTGCTGCACGCCTTACCGTGCCTGAGTGAAGACTTTTGGAGCCCTCCCGAATCTCCGGGTGCTAGATTCCAGCTCTGGGAGGGGCCTTATCAAGGTGGTCTGGGGCGGGAGGGGCCTTGTGAGGGTGTGGGGGGCGATTACCACCTGCTTTTCCTCTCTCCCCCAAGTAGAATTTTTAGGGAAATTGGAGGAAGGTAGAGTGGGCATCTGACATGGGGGTGTGGTAGAGGGTCTGATACCGGAATGGGGGTGCAGAGCTGCAGAAATTCTAACTCTCCCGCGGTCACAGCCACCCTTGCTCCCTGCTGCCCGGGGTGGGATGCTTTTCTCCGCACTGGGGACACCAGGCTCCCAGGTACAAGTCCAGACCCAGACAGACTCAAGGCGGGACTCCGCCTGTCAAGGACTCCACTGCTTGCTGTCCACCCCCCCCCCCCCCCGCTTTCTTTTTATTTATTTATTTAGCACATTTGGGATGACCATTTCTCCAGTGTGGTTTGGTGCCCAAAGAATTCAAACCACCTTCTTTATTTTTGTCATCCACCAGTACTCAGAGCAGAGGTAAACCATGACACAGGAAAGGCCAAGAATCTATGATGCGTTATGTTTGTTTTGGAAGTTTGTTAAATTGGAGAGACGGGTGGGCAGCTGGATGAAGGCCTGAATGAATGCAGACTCAAAGAGGAAAGAAAAGTGCTTTCGGCCCCAAGATGTTCTCTTGCACAGTCCAAAGGAAAATGATCTTTGCTCTGTGTTTTAATGGATGCAGTCAAGTACTTGAATAATTGAGGCCATAAGTCGAATTTTGGGATCCGAATTTTCCAGGTTGGGCTGGGGATTTAGCTCAGCGGCATAAGCACCTGCTTGCAAGCAGTCAGTCGTGAGTCCGATCCCCGGTACTGATAAAAAAAAAAAAAAAGAATTATCCAGGTTAATCTATATGCAGTCTAATCTGTCAAATCACTGTCAAATCTGCCCTCTGCTCTGTGCCATGTGTAGGCCACCACATCTACTCTGTTCAATTGGCAAACCTTCTAGTTTGGCTGCTGGCCACCATTTGACTTCTATATCAGAAAATGGACTGTGTCCCTTTTATCCAGATCTTCTGCCATTGTTCGGTCACCGCCTTCTGGGTGTCCTTCTGGCCAATGGCCCTTGGCCTCTTTTGGATTCTGGACCTGACCTGCTCTGAATAAGGAAGCTCGGGTGCCCCTCAGAATCAGAAGCAAACAGCATCTACCCCAGGAGGAGAGTGCGCCTGGGTCCTGCCCACCGGGTCTTGCCTCCCTGGACCCTGTGCCTGCCTGGTGGCTGGGACCAGTCGGGGGCTTGGCTGAACCTGGCTGGTGATGACTGTCTGGTCCTTCATTGCCTCAGTGGGCTGAATAGTTATTTCAGCAGAATCCTTCCTCAGCCTGCCTTAGTAAAGATTCTCTATCTCACTGTGTCTCCTCTTTCTCCTCCTTTTATATAACTTGGCAAATATTTAAGAGTGAATCCCTTTGTATGAATCAAAGGTCTAGATTATGAAACACATTGGCAAGTAGAAAAAACAAACCAAATTTTCACTCTCCCATGATCTTCTTCTTCTTTTTTTTTTTTAAAGAAATCCATATAGCTTTATTTATTTATTTTGTCTTTTTTGTTTTTATCCGTACCAGGGATCAAACTCACAACCACACACTTGCAAGGCAGGCGCTTATCCTGCTGAGCTAAATCCCCAGCCTCTCTCCCATGATCTTCTGACAATACCAATTGCTTTTGTGATGCCAAAAATTGTGAAGATTTATCCCCATCAGCCTTCAAACACCTTGTCCTTCACTGGACACCAGCTCAGTGTCCCGATTGAATTAGCCTACTTGGACGTGGCTTTGGATCCCACAGAGAGAGGGTCATCAAGTTCAGAGCCAGCCATAAGTCTGGGCCTCTGGAGCTTCAGACCAAGTGCCTTCAAAGTCCTGAGCTGGATTCATTTGCTAGAACAACTCACACAAAGAAATACGGTATATTGTGCTTACATTTACTGGTGCATTGTAAAGGATATTTTAAAAGACACAAGTCAGCAGCCAGATGGAGAGATGCAGTGGGTGAAGTCTGCTCTGGAGGAGTCCTGAGCACAAGAACATCTGCACCCCCAAGTTGGTGTCACATCCCTTTCTATGCAGTGTGACTCGCCTGTGGGTGTGAAGCAGAGCCCCTGAAGTGGGGTCATCTACTCTGAAGAGTAGGGTAGAGGAGGTTGGTGTGGCCAGTGGCTGGGCAGGTTAGTCTCTGTGACCTGCCTTGGGGAAGAAAAATATATATATATTGGTTATATATTTTGAATCTATGTTGTTGGATGAAAAAAAAAAGCTCATAAGTATTTTACCCTCTTGTTATAATATTTCTTTTAACACTAGAAAATATTTCACCTTGACTTCAGCTTTGGCTGATACTCAGATCGCCACACCTGTTCTGTGTGTTACTATTTTCCAGGCATGGTCCCTTGAGTGGGAAGTTGCTCTCATCACCCATTCCCTTCCCGGTCCTTACCGCTTGTCTTAGGAGTCTGCATTTTTCCAGTGAGAAATGGAACCCATTTCCCTGACTATTGAATCATGACTGTCACTGACGTGCTCTGAATTTGAAAGGCACCAGAACGGATGTTGTGACTCAACTGAGACTGATCCCATGAGGCCTTGCAGCTGCTGAGCTCGTCACGTGGCCTGCTGCCGCCACTATGAACAGACACTCCCAGTGGCCTTCTTGAGGTTTAGGGGACCCGTGACAAGGAGGCAGCCAGTGTGGATGACTGCAGGCCTGGTGAGCCTGGGGAGACTGGCAGGCCTGCCCAGCTGAGCCCAGCTCAAGTTGCTGACCCCTGCAGCAGGAGCAGTACAGTGGCTGTTACTGTAAGTCATTTGATTTGGGAGGTGGTTTGTTGCTCTATAGTGGACTTTGGGGACAACATGTTTGGGTGGTTTTCCCATAGCTATCACTGTCCGTTTTGTTTTAGATACGTATCTTACGAAACCTAAAGGCACATGGCTGGAGTTTTAAAAACCCAGTCTGGTAGCCTAGGAGCTGAATTCAGTGCTTTCATATTTCATATTTAACTCTTGAAATATTTGTTCCATTAAAAGGGAAAATTCCGCAGGCCAGTTATGTCAAATAGAGTTTATTCAAGCAAAGAAGAAGAGTAATGTAAAACAAAACAGAATAAAAATGATTTACTAACAGAGCAGTTCCTGTAATCAGGCAGGTTCTGAGAATGCCAACCAATGATGGGACCTGATGTTATTCATAGAAAAACAGAAGTGAGTCTAGCTGGGCATGGTAGGGCACGCCCGCCATTGTGGCATTCTGTGAGGTTGAGGCGAGAAGGTTCCAAATTCCAGCCCAGCCTGAGCAACTTAGTGACACAATGAAAATAAAATAAAAAAATAAAGAAAGGTCTGGGGAGGCAGCCTGTGTCATTAGCACAATAATAAAACAGAAAAAAGGGAGAGAGGAGAGAGAGCAAAGCAGAATGATCCATAGGAAACAACTTAACCAGCCTAAGCTACAAGCCAGGGCAGGGGTAGCCTGAACTGCATAGCCTCAAAAACACAAAACAAGCAAACAATTTAAGTTGGCGGTAGTTGGGTCAAACAGACAGCCAGTTGGTTAAACTGAAATGTTTAATTGGTTACAGGACCATGAACTTTGGAGGATTTGGAGGAGCTGATTTCACGTTTAGCTTTAAGTATCAACCACAACCTGACAGTCTCCCACTGTGCTTACCCCAGGAATTGGTTCCTGTATGGGCCTGAGGGCCTCAGGTGGCCAGTGAACAAACTTGCTTCTCACCTGGGGAATTGGGCTCCTCCCAGGGGCATCTGGCGTGTCTGAAAATGTTTTTGGTTGTCCTGACCCTCCTGGTGGCAGGAGGTCTTGTAACCAACAACCAGTTAAACTCTGAACTGGGGTGGGGGGATGAGCCGCTGGCATTTAGGTAGAAAGAAGCCAGGGATGTTCCTAAACATCTCTGATCAGAGTGTAGCCCCACAGCAAAGAATTCTCCGGCCCCAAATGTCTGCAGTGCCAGCACTGAGAAACTCACGACTGGGTGGTGGGAAAGAACACTTTGGAAGCGGCTAACAATGTCCAGCATCCCTGGCTTTTAAGTCAGTTTCTTTGATTCATTTCACCTCTACATTCTGGTCCTGTGTGTTAAGTGATTATTCTTTAAATAAATGCATATATGCATTTAACTTGTAGGGTTTTGGTTTTCATTTTTTCTTGAGATCAAGTCTCACTGTGTAGTCGAGGCTGGCCTTGAATTTACAATCCTCCCGCCTCAGCTCTGGGGTACTAGGATTATAGACAGGTACCGTCACATCCATCTGCTTCTGCTCCTTCTTCCCCTTCTCCTCCTCCTCTTCCTGCTCCCCTTTCAGTCTTTCAGGTAACACCCTCAGCGATCTGTCTCCTCCAATCAGGCCCCACCTTTCAAGCTATGAACTCATTAAAGAATTCATTCCACCGATGAGTGTAGCCCCGTCATGACCCAATCTGACAGCACCGTCCCTGAACACATGAAACTTTTGGAGACATTTCAGATCTAAGCTGCAACACCATGTAACATCCAGCATTGCCTGGGCACTGACATCTGACTGGCAGAAAGAGGATCAGAGAGAGTAGTGGTTCTTTCTTTTCTTTTTTTTTTTTTTTTTTAAGATGACAAACTGAGCTATTTATTTGCTACATTAAACCATATGAACTAGAATTGTGATCATATAACAAAATCTAAAACAAACTAGAAAATTATATGTAGTATACAAGTCCTTAATAAGTCAATTTTGCTCTTCAGGGTTAAATTTTTTTTTTTTTTTAAGTATCACAATATATTTTGTTATCTTTATAATAGTTGTTCTTTGAGTCACATATATCAAAATGAGATGAAATATAGAACACTACAGAACTTATCAAAACAGAATATTGAATAGAGCAGTACCATTAATTAAAAAAGAACAAAACAGAAATAAAAATATTTGCCTTCAAAGAAATGGTAGAAGGAAGTCCTCCTTATTTGCTATGGTCAACCTGCCAGGAGATGCTCAGATTTCTGGTTCCCATTTGCTAATGGGCGGCGGCTGGGGGAGGGGAGAAGGAGGATAGGGGAAGTGGGATATTTGACTCTAGCCCATGTAGCAGTAGGTTCACTACTGCTAAGCAGGGAGGCAGGATGGTCATTTGTTTTCACAGTGTCCTCAGTTCCAACATGGTGTGGATCTCAGGAGACACTGCTGGGTCTCCCCCTGGAAGGGCTGCAGTCTGCCAGCCTGCCTCCGCTTACCAGGGAGGGGAGGTGCTGGCTTGGCTTCCCAGAGTCCTAAGTTCCAACATGGCGTGGATCTCAGGAGACACTGCTCGAGAGTAGTGGTTCTTATAAGCCAGGCCTTGCCCCAGTGACATTTGCCATCCTGTTCACATTCTGGAGGCTGGAGCCCAGTCACATGGTCTCATCTAACTTCATAGGAACCTGGGAGAAATCCTAGCATGTGCTGGAGAGAAAGAAATAGGATCGGTAACAATTTGGCAGCTTTTGCCAGAAAGTCCTGTTCTGGTTTGCCTATTAATTCTCCCAGGTACCATTCTTTCCTCCCTGGTTTCTCTTGGTTGGTTTTGGCTTTTCTCCAGTTTAGAAATCCTCGTGCAAAATCATCTCTGCAGTGGACCTTCTTGGTTATTCTGTGCGATCTCTTGTGGAGCATGCTTAGGGAAAGAGACAAGCATTGTGCTCCATGCTAGTTACAGAGGGTGTGGGGAGAGCCAAGGCACGCTACTGGACAGGGCACCTTAGTAGCTGGTCTTCTGGGCATGGCACTCCCGAGTCCCCCTGGGTGATCCTAGTCACCAAGTGCTGCCTTTCTGTCTACTCTAAACTCCCACATTCTTTGCTCCTTCCTGCCTGGAGTAGACCACCCACCCATCACACTTACCTGGTCCCTCCTATGTCTCCAGTCCCCTTGGGTTTCTCCCAGTCTCGCTGGGAGGCTTCTGCTGTTGGACCCACTATGTGTCCCAGGTTCAGGCTGCCTTCTCTAGTCTCATCTCCCTGCCTTTTACTTGTCCCTTGCAGGTTCAGCTCCTCAGCTGCTAGTGAGAGTCTCTCTTCTTGTATATTTATGATTCAGTTTATGTTTGCATCTCTCATTTATTGGATTTGGTGTTTAGCATTTTGAAAGACTGCCGGCCCGTTTCCTCAAGAGACTCCTGCTCCATTTTGCACTCCCAGCAGCTGTGTGGGAGGTTTCTGACTGCTCCACGTTCTTGAATCGTTTGTGGTTGTCCGTCTTTTGGGCCCCAGCACCCTTAGACTCTCCATGGCGCATCACTTGGGGTACTCAGTGGAAACTCTTGCAGGTGTGAACCTGCTATTCACCGTTATGCTCCACCACCAGACCTCTCTTCCAGGAACCAGAGCTGTCTCTTCCTGGGCTCCCTTTGCTGCCTGGTGCAAAGTCTGAGAATAACCAGTACAAAAGTGTAGCATCCTCTGCGGCTACCGCATACTGAGTGACCACTCCACAGCAGACCTGTGGGAAGCACCACAGCGCTCTTATTCAGTCTCCATAAACTGAAACTGGGGCTCCGAGTATTAACTGGAACCGAGTTAGACAGCTGGGTAAACGGAGGCAGCAGGATGTAAAGGAACGTGTGCCCACCTGCTCCCGGCTTCTTCCGTGGCTACGGTTGACTTCAATGAGTATTGAGGGGGGTGGGGGCTTGGTTTTAAAGTTAGTACATCAAGGGGCTGGGGATTTAGCTCAGCGGCATAAGCGCCTGCCTTGCAAGCAGGCAGTCGTGAGTTCGATCCCCGGTACTGATAAAAAGGAAAAAGACCAAAATAAATAAATAAAGTTAGTACATCAAAAGTTGCATATCAAATTAGAAATCTCTTCATGTCAAGTATAAATGAGAATGTGCGGTAACTCTTTGACACTTAGCCACTGAGCCAGAGACAAATGAAGGAAATAGCAATTAGGAAGTCCATATCGCAGAAGTGTGGCCTTTTGGCCTATTTGCTCTTTCGATAATGCTCCCATTTCTGGGTGAGTAGAATAGAGGATGGGTGGCATATTCCAAAAAGGTTTCTATTTGTCTGCGAGGTCACCAGCTTCTGCACGGCACTAGGCCCTTTGTTATCATCTTTTACCTCCACGCTCACACTCTGCACTCCAGGCTCTGCAGGCTCCACCTGCGCTTTGCCAGCTGGTTCTGTGCAAGGCGCTGCCCGGAGGAGGCAAGGCAGGGAGACTGCACGGGTGGAGGAGGAGGCAGGACTTGGTTCCTATCTGTCGCTTCCTACCCACCCCTCTGCCTGTGGCTCCTGGCTTGCACGCCAGTTCTTTCCTACCACAGTTTCTAAATGCAGTGTTCAGCTTTTCCCAGCACAAGGCATAATTAGCTTTTACGTGACCCCATTAGAGACAGCAGTTCAGGTACTGGTACTTTCCAGGAAGGTCAGAGCCTCTACAAGCTCACATTCTGGAACCATCTTTCTCCAAGTTGTAGCTTGCAGAGTGATTCAACCTTTTCTTACTACAGGGAGCTGCTTCTTGCAGTTACTACACTTATGTGACACCTCGGATTTCTTTTTTTGATCTGTCAATTACCTAACAACTTTAAACCTAAGCAACTATTTTCTGTGTTGTAATCTCTCTGTTAAGTAACCAACATGCTTTCTATCTCCTGACTATTAAATCTTTCTAAACTTTACTTGCTATATCCACAGATTTGTTTATGGCTGGGATTTGTATCTCCGAGGATAGGATCTAAGATCAGGAAAGACATCGGATAATAAAGCTGCTTGGCCCTGTAATGCACTGCCTCCTTAGTGTGGAACCCCCTATTCCTGCTGCATAGAGCAGCTGAGGAAAAGTCCCTTCTCTGTTCGAGTCAGAGGCATTTCTCTGGGACTCTGCAGACAGAACAGCAGGTTTATGTTTGCCTCTTACTTCGCACGCAGAAGCCCTCCAGAGACAGTCACAGGTCGGTTCTGTACTGAGCTCCAGCTTAGCTTATATATGGACTACATTTCCATTTTCCCCGCTCCAGGGCCAGAGGGCTCCCTGACCCTTTTCTCCTCCTTCCCCCCATGGAGACATTCTACACCTGCTGCTCCTCTTCCCACTCTTTCCCAGGGGCCACTGACTATTGCCCTTCTTCAACTTTCCCTGTGTTGGCCACCCTCCCCCAGATCTCCTGGGGGCAATGCCCACGTCCTTCCTGGCACAGGTCTTGCATGCTTTGGACAACAGTGGATTTCTAAGAGCCAGCACTTAGAAATCCAGCTCACTATGGGCAGTAGTCCAGTTCGATAGTTCCTGTGGCCCCAATACCCCCTACAAATAAATAAGGAAACTGGCAAGCATGCAGTCATGAGTTCAATCCCTGGCACCAAAACAAACAAACAAATAAACAAACAAAAAAGTACAACAAGGAACCACTGCACATCTGTTGTGACGATGTTATTCAAAATAGCAGTAACAGCAACCGCAAAACCAAAACAGAAAGTGACAGGTATTGGTGGGGATGTGGGGATGTCGTTAGTGGGAATGTTAAATGCTACAGCTGCTGCGGCCAACAGTATGGCATTCATTAAAAAACTCAACAGAATGAACACTTTGAGAGAGATGCCCAAAGGAATTGAAAGCAGACACCCAGACAGATGTTTGCACGCCAGTGTTCACAGCAGCGTTATTCACAGTGAGCAAAAGATGGAAACAACCCAAATGTTCATTGGCAGATGAATGGATAATTCAGATGTGGTGTGTACGTACAATGGAATATTGTCAGAGTTAAAAAAATGAAATTTTGATATGCGTTACAACTTGGGTAAGCCTTTAAAATACACTAGTGAAATATGGACAAATACTGTACTATTCCACCTACACCAACACCTAAAATAGCCAAGTTTTTAGAGACAGAATCTAGTCTAGTGGTGACCAGGGCTGGAGGGTGAAGGACACGGGGAATTACTGTAAAGTGCAGAATTTCACAGGAAGATAATGAAAATGGTCAGTTGGAGAGTGGCAATGATTATTCAACCATGCAAATATATTTAATGCCACTAAATTGTACAGTTCATATGGTTAAAGCAGTAGATTTTATGTTGTGTATATTTTACCAAATAAAATGATGGTGATGGTAATATAACAGGGTGAATACAAAAATGTCACTGACCTGCACGCATTAAAAATGGTTAAGTTGGTAAATTTTGTTATGTGTAATTTACCACAATAAAAAATGCTAAATAAACTGTACATAAAACTACCTCATGACCCAACAATTCTATTCCTGAATTTACTCAAGAAATAAAAACAAAAAAGACATGTTCAAGAATATTGTGAGCAGCTTTATTTATAACAGCCCCCAAAAGAAAGCAGCCCACGATGTCCGTGCACATTAGAAAGACCAAACCGACCGCGAAAATTATTGAACTTATTCAGCTAGCTGTCCGAACACAGGCCTGAACACAGGTGGTTTTACTCTAGTTGCTTATTTTTCTTTGGCCGCAAGTGGGCTTTCCTATTCACTTCCAGACTTTGACCTGAGGACCATCCGAGACTACTGAGTCTTAGATCTGCATGGTTACTTCTGTTAAGACTGTCTTTCCAAAGGGAAGGCTCTCCTGCTATCTGTGCACAGCCTCTAAGACCTGCTTTCCTGCACATGGTCCACTAAGTTTTGGTCCAGCTCTTGCCAGAACTGACGGGTGGAACACCCCTGCTCTCCGCGGGAGGGAAGCTAGGCACTGGGTGCTCTGGTTTACCCGGGTCCTGGTTTCCATCTCCCTAGTGGTCATAGCTCTAGCTGCTCTTTTCTGTATTTCAAATGGGCATCCTTTGGCCACCATCACACAGGGCTCTGTGAGCTCTGCTCATGCCCCTCTTGTTGATGACCTCTGAGGAACGGTGCCCAGTGCCGGGCACTCTACAAGGAGACAGATGAGCAGTGTTCTCTGTGCAGTGTGTGAAGGCACGGACTCCTCAGCCACTTGACCTTTTTTTTTTTAATCTTCTCTTTTTGAGACAGGGTCTCGCTATGCAGTTCAGATTGGTCTTGAGCTCATTTTGTAGCCCAGGTTGGTTTTGAATTTGTAAGATCCTCCTGCCTCAGCCTCCTGAGTACTGGGATTACAGGCGTGCACCACCACGCCTGGTTTTAATCTAGTGTTTTGTTTGTTTGTTTATGTATTTATTTGGTCTTTTTTGAGGCAGAGTTTCATTATATGGTCCAGGGTGGCCTTGAACTCACTTTGTAACCCAGACTGGCCTCAAACTCAGTGATCCTCCTGCCTCAGCTCCCAAGAGCTGGGATTACAGGTATTCATCACACCCAGGTTCCATCTGGTTTTGAATCTGAATTTTATAACATACTGGTGACTCTTAACACTTCTTTGTGTCAAAATTTCATAATCTATAAGAGGAAAAATCATGCTGCTTCCTTCATGGTTGTGGTGAGAATTGTGAGGATAAAGTTAATAAAGTATAAAGTTCAGGGATGGGGATATAGCTCAGTGGCACAGTGCCTGCCTGGCAAGCACGAGGTCATGAGTTTGATTCTTGGTACCAAAAAAAAAAAAAAAAAGTGTAAAGCTCTTAGAGCAGTGTCTGGTGATGCTGGCACTATAGAAGTGTGGTATTTGTACCTACTTTGTACCATGTTCTCTACATTCTTTGAAGGATTTTTGTTCTCAGATGACAGCTGAAAAGAACAAATACATGTATATCAGCCAGGATTTGGTCAGGAGACAGGACACCACACCAGCTGTTTCAATAGGGAAAATCTAGTTTAAAGAATTGCTAACCAGTAAATGGCGACGAAGAATACGGGAATGAGAGTTAAAGGAGCAGCCACTCCAGAGTCTCCAGGACTGACAGAGAGAGGAGTGAATGCCCCTTCCCCAGCTGGGGCTGAGATCCAGAGCTCCCAGGGGAGGGTGTGCTTGTGGCCCTGTGGGTGGCAGAGGAGCTGGCTGAGGTGCTGCTGCAGGCTGGGCTGGCAAATGGGACATCGCCTGCTGGGAGCTGGCAAAATCCCACTGGGAAGCCACCCACTAGCAGCTGTGCTGCAGGAGCCCTTTACCAAGGAAGAAAAGCCCTTTACCAAGGGAGAGAAGGCTACTCAGTGAGCCTCTGACACTGTCCCTGGGAGCCTTACTGGGGTGACCATCTAATAGAGGACCCTTCTTTCAGGGTCCAGTTCCAGGATACCCTGAATGGGCAAAGAAGATGAAGCACTGAACTGCTTCCCATCTGTGTTCTCACAATTTAAAAAGCTTCAGAAGGAAGTTTCTCCTAGTTACCTATTTACAAAAGGAAGCTAATTATCCTAATTATCTGTTTACAAAAGGAAGCTGAGTAGGGTGCCCATAAGTTCTAGGTGTTCAAGAGTCCCAGTCCATGCCCATTCGTGCAGTATTATTAATAGCACCCTCTATGTGCTATTAATGTTATGTGGTCTTACACTAGATATGGATGCATCTGCTTCTGGGAAACCCTCCTGCCGGTAGTAGCTAGAAAACCTGTAACTATAAACAAGCACAATTTAGCAGAATGTGGTGGGGCACACCTGCAATCCCTAGCTAGGAAGCTTAGGGATTTAGGGAGATCTTGTTTCAAATAAATAAAAAGAAAAGAAACAAAGAGTTGGGATTGAGTTCAATGCAAAGGCTCTGGGTTCAATCCCAGCAGCAAAACAAAACAAAACAAAACAAAGCAAAACATTCTGCTCAAAGTCAACAGTGAACTATCAAGGCAGCCCAGGAGTTAAGAGCCAAGGGAGAGGAAAGAGGCCCGGAGGTGAGCTTGACTCCCTGGGCCACTTCCCTCCTAGAAGCTTTTGCTGATTTGTAGGTGGAAGTAATTAAGATGCTGCAAAGTGACATGAAAATACTAAGCTATAGTTAAAAGGGTAGCTTTCTTTTATAGGGGAGTATCCTATAAGATCCGCTGGGTCACACCGACACATATATTTTCAACTTTGACAGATTTTGCCAAGTGATCTTAAAAAACAAACCAAACAGAACAGTGTCCACGTCCCCTTCCTCTCATCAATATGGAGAGTCTCCTGAGTTTTCTCCACCTAACTGGCTCTCATCATTTCTTCTTTTTGGCTTTAACTCAGGTGAAGGGCCACGTGCTCCGGGGTTTACCACGTGGGTCTGAGTAGATTACATTTCCTCTATGTGGTGCTGGTGGCACTAGGGGAGGTTATCAGGACAGAAAGGGATTGTAGGCACTCTGAGAGCCAATCAAGATGGTCCCCACTGTTAGAGGTAGCGGGGCATCTTTTGCATTTCTGTTTACAAAAATAATAATTGAAATAATTATTAAGACAAAATCCTTTATAATGGAATCACTCCTGCAGGCTGGGCTGGCAAACAGAGCCTGTGGATGTGAGACGCCCAGGAGGCACAGCAGGCCCCGCCTGCCACAGCCTGTTCCTGTGACTACTGCTCAGGTGGCTTCTCAAGTGGGATTTGACTTCTCCACAGCAACTTTTTGTAATCAAATACTGCACTATGCACAACCACGAGGAAACACGGGCATATATCTGTATCTGTACCTTTCCATAAATTTGAATCAAGATAATCTTCATTCATTAGACCATAAATTGCATTTAGTTAATCAAAATGTTTGTATGGTGCATCATGGTGTCTCCTGTGTATCAGGAACCAAACTCATAGAGAGAAAATACAGTGGCTGTTAGATCCAATTTGGCTTTTCATTATTAGCAATAAAGATCCTCTATACCCACTTTGTGTTACTGGCACTTACACACAGCAATTTGAACTCTTCTGTTTTAGCTCATCATTTAGACACAAAAACATGGAAGTAATAAAAATAAACCAGTTTTTAAAAAGTACAACAGGCATACATTCCGAACATTCATTTAGGAAAGCAGACTTTGTCTATTTTTGATGCTATAATGAGTCATTAAATTTCATACATTTTAATATACAGTCCATTTGTCCCAATACCCAAGGACACGTTATTTTAAAAGTTATGAACAAAACATGGTCTCCCCTTACATAATTAAATTAAACATCGTGCATTACTTGGTAAATGGGAAAATGTTGAGACTAGTCTTTTTATACTACAGGCATTGCCATTTTAATATTGTACATGTATCTAAAATAAGTCATATTTAAAATTCAGTTTTTAGTAGACACTTTACAGGTTTTTTAATGGGCAAGCTAATTTCTTTTTTTACATTTTTCTTTTTTTCCTTTTTTGTCAGTACCGGGGATCAAACTCACAACTGACTGCTTGCAAGGCAGGTGCTTATGCCGCTGAGCTAAATCCCCAGCCTCCACCAAGCTAATTTCAAGGTGTTGAAGGAGTTACATGGTGAAAGGGGTTCTCCGGTCAAGGGAGGCCGGGGTGATCTTAATCTGCTCCAGGTTTTTCCATTTACACAGGAGGAAGCTGAGGCGGAGGTGGAGGAAGAGACTTACATAAGATTTCTTTACACGCAGGGCCAGGGAGCAGCGGAGCTAAACTCTGAGCTCACTGCTCTGCAGAGCCAGCGTGGCTGAGGGTACATGTCTGCGGGTCCCACCAGACAGGTCTTCACTGGACCGGGTCTCCAGCAGCTGGGGTGCTGACCCTGTCCCCTCTCCAGGTTCAGCATTTCCTGTCTAGGTTCCTCGGTTTCCTTGTGGGCTAAGCCCACTTAGTTCCCTTTAGAAGGAGCTGTCTTTTTGCACACACAATTGGGATGTGTCACTGTCTACCAACCCAATAGAGGAGCAGATAAATGGACGGAGAGGGGAGAAGGCTGAGCACCCATCATGGGGTGACTGAGGAAGGACGAGGGGTGCGTTCTTCAAATGGGAGTGGATTTAGAAAATACTGTAAAAAGGTTCACAACTGTACTCTCCTTCTTACCAGGAAATTAACCTCTTTCTATTGAGAAAAAATTACGTTCATCCTGGAGCAAACCTTGTATCTACCTCTTCAGCCTTTCTCAGCTTTGGGGAAAAACTTATTTCAAAGGATCACTGTGCCACCAATTTCTTCTCCCAAACTGGGTTCTTTATCCGTCTCAGAACAGCAGAACCAAAAGACCAAGCACTGAAGGAACAGTGAAGAATTTCACTCTTGGCCACAAATTGGGGGTCCAGGGACTATGGATATAAGGTAAAAGAAAAGAGGGGGAAAGATAGGCTAGAAAAGGGAGGAGTAGTTAGTTACGTCTTTTCTGGGCATTCGGGTGCCTCCTCTTCCTGTTACTCACCGTTCTTTCCAGTCATTGTCACATTGTACTGGGGAGTTTGTCACTGAACACGCAGATGGGATTATAAGGAAGCTGTCTGGCAGTCACTCTGGTGGCCACCTAGGGCCCACCTGGTCTCAGCCAGCCCATCCAAAGAGGGACTTTTGGTTCACTGGTGTCCTGCCCTTAGACACACACGATTAGGACCAGGAAGAAATTCAGCTAAGTCAAGTGCAAGTCCAGGTAACATCAGCCCTTGTTTTACCCTGCGATGCCTGCACACAGTCCAGGAAGCCCCAGCCCTGCAACCCCCATCTGCCAGGTGTCTGATAGGATACACTAGGGTGCAGCCCACCACATTTTGGAGCTGCTCATGATGTGTCTCCTACAGTTACAAAACAACCAGAGACAGCCTCACCTAGCTCCTTTCTATGGGTGGATCAGTCCAATCTGAACATGGCTTGGAGTGTTCTGATAACATCAGAGCTGATGTGGCCCCATATGCCAGTAATGTCAAGGTTCTGGGAGGCTGGGGCAGAAAGATTACAAGTTTGAGTCTGGCCCAGACAAGTTAGAGACACCGCCTCAAAATAAAAAGTACAGAGATCTGGTATGTAGATCAGTGTGAAGGCCCTAGGTTTGATCCCCAGTACCACAAAACAAACACAAAACAAAGCAAAACAAAAAACCCACTCAGGAGGTCCACACCTCCACAGATTTCATAGAATCTGTGGCTGTCCCTTCACTGCCACCCTGGATACTGACACCTCTCCTGCTTGAATTCAAGGTCTTCTATAATCTGGAACCAAGCTACTGCTAGACATTTGTCACCCTAACACAACCTGTTTCTGGGGTCAAGTCACCATGAAGCTGACTGCACCAGTGATCTGCCTGCATGGCTTTCTCACGCTGGTCCCGCATGAAGAGCCCTGGTCTTGTGCTGTTTGGTCTCCTGGGCTAAGTGAGTAGAGCGGTCACCAAACAAGCTAACAGGTGCTCAAGAGACAAGATGATCAGAACAAGCCAGAGGAAGAGTGGCTGGCGGAGGAGATGGACCGAGAAGGTGGCAACCGCTGGGATCGAAGGAGGACATAGATTCCTCGGAGACTTAAGGATGGTCCTAAGGCCAACACCAATGTTCACATTTTAATTCCTTTTGAAATGAGACACACAGAGAGAGAGAGAGAGAGAGAGAGAGAGACAGACAGACAGACAGAGACAGAGACAGAGACAGAGAGTGAATGTAACTACAAATTTAGCTTGAATTATACTCATTTTTTATACCATCGCACAGTAAAATATAATTTTTGAAAAAGCTTTTATTTTTTTAAACTGAGGAAAGCGGTCCCGGAAAACGAAAGTGCTTATGACCCGGAACAGCCATAATCCGGTCCTGGATATAGTGTTTACATTTTCTGATTTACAAAACGGATATTCGGATGCTTTTATGAGATCATTTCATTTTAAAGATTGAAAGCGCGTTTTCAAATGAAAGAAAAGCGAAACATTCGTCTAGGCTGCAGCGTCCCCGGAGCCCGGGTTACTCCGCCCCTCGACAGGGGGCGCGCGAGTCGACTCGGGACGTGCCCGCTCCGGCAGGGCGGGAGCGGCGGTCGCCGTCGCGGGCAGAGGCCGCTTTCGGAGCCCAGGCCGCGCGGGAAGGCGGGCACCTGCATCCCGGAGCCCAGCGCCCGCTCCCACCCCTGTCGTGTGTCTCGACGGCCGCCAGGCCCCTCCGCGCCGCGCCTGCCTCTCCGCCGCCTCCCCGAGGACGCGCGACGGCTCCCGCGGGGCCGGGCTGCCCCCCCGTGGCTCGGCCTGCGCACTTCCGAGGCCCTAAAGGCAGCGGCTAACCCAACGCTCCACGCGCGAACCGGACCCTCGCCGCACTCCCCGGCTCTTTGGGACGCGGGTACCGCACCGCACCCGGGAGCGCGGCCCGAGTTGCAGAAGGCGCGGGTCCGAGCCTAAGCGGTTGCGCATGCTCCATGGCGGGCTTAGGGAGCCCTGATAGGGCCATCGCGCGGCTGGTTCTACGGAGCTCCAGTGGCGCAATCGGTTAGCGCGCGGTACTTATATGGCAGTACGTCAGAGCGATGCCGAGGTTGTGAGTTCGAGCCTCACCTGGAGCACTACCATTTTGGGTGTCCGCACGCCCCATTTTATCTCCTTGCTCGAACGGAGCCAGTCGTTTGGTTTCATTTCCGGCCTGTTAACTAATTTGCCCCACGATCCGCGTTGCCGCGGCAGGAAACAGCTCTTTACCGGTTACTTTTCTGAGCTACTTGTAGCCCCAGCGCAGCATCCAGCGCTCAGGTCCCCACGTCCACCTTCTGCTTCCTCCTGCTTCTCTTAGGCGCTTCTGTAACTTAGTTCCTCACTGGCGACGGCGACGTGGGGCGGAGGTCTCGGGCGCTGCCCTGGAGCTGGGGCCTAGGGGCGGGGAATGGGCATCGCGATCCAGGTCGCTTCTCTCCCCTGGGGAAGGCCAAACTCCGCGTCCCGGAGGAGGTCGGGCCGACAGCTGGGGCCGGCGAGGTGGGGACTCGGGCGGCGGCTCCACCGTCCCGACCCCTCCCGGGGGTGCAGACCCGGACAGCGCCCTCCAGGGGCGGTGTGCGGTTTGGAGAAAGTGTCGCCCTGAAATGGAGAGGGTTTCTAGGCTCAGGAGTCGCCCCGCGGCCGCCGGGTTTGCGACCAGCTCAGGACCATCCCCAGCTCCGCGGGGGCCGCTCGGTCACCCTGAGGCGCTGGCGGGGGGGGGGGGTTGGATTGGAGCTCAGAAGGCCGCTGGACCACTCTCAAAGGGCAGTTTCCAGCTGCGTGTCGGTCCGCACCCCAAGTAGGTGGGATCATCATCAGCAGAGCGGTGAGCCCTCCTTCCAGAGATCCAATACAGGCCTGGAAACAAATCTCTACTCATTAGAAAAAAAAGTTTCCTTAACGTCTTCTTAAATAAAAGAAACTTTATTGATACCGGGAGTGATGGCAGACACCTGTAATCCTAGCACTTGGGAAGCTGAGGCAAAAAAATCACCGTGAGTTTGAGGCCAGTCTGGACTACACAGCAAGACTTTGTCTCAAAAACAACAAAACAAAAAACCAGAAAGCCATTAGTGAGATATAAGTCACATGCAATGTAATTTACTTATTTAAAATGCACAACTCGATTTTAATCTAGTCACAGATACGTGTGTGCAACCATCAATCTTGAATGTTTATATCACCTCAGCAAGAAACCCCTTATCTTTTAGCTATTTCTAGAAGTACAGTCATACAGCAGTGTCCTTTTGTGGCTTTTTTTCTCCTACTAACTATAACATTTTTCTAGATCCATACCTGTTGTACGTCCTCATTTTATTTATTTATTTTTCCTTTTTTTTTTAGATGATGGCTCACTGTACTGCCTAGGATGGTCTCAAAGTCCTGCAATCATCTTCCTGGTGATCTAATGGCTAGGATTCCACATATTCCAAGTTCTTGGATCCAGGGATCCTCCTGCCTCATCTCAAAGTAGCTGGGAATACACCCCCGTGCCTTGTTCATTTCTTTTTATAACTGAACAATATTCCATTGCATGAATTATTTGCAGAAAATGCTGGCATTTTCAACAGAAAAGTTGCTGGAAACTTCAAGATGGAATTAGTTTTAAATGTGCAAAGCATGAAAGTGATCAGACCTGTCAAGTGCAGGTTTCTGACCTCCAGAGCTTACCCCCTAACCACTAGAGGCTGTTGTCTTCTGAGAGCTGAGCACAGAGCAGATTGCCAACATAGAAAAGCATAAATGAGTGAAAAAGCACCCCCTCCGGCTTCCTGGCTGCAGAGAAACAACTGGTACAAAACCTCACTCTGACTTTAAAACATCCAGCCTCAGAATTGACTTTCCTTTCAAGGCAGCCCATTCTCTTTTCTGGCAACTCTGGTGGTTAGAACATTCTTCTTACACATCATTTCTGTCTCTGTTGGTTATGGCTGGAACTGAGGTGGCTTGGGAGATCATTTTTTTTTCCTCGTAAAATGGTGGAGTGGGAAGGAAGGAAGCTAAACTAGTGGCATAGAAACCCAAACTAGAAAATTATCAGTGGCCAACAAATAGACTACTCTGTAGGCAGATTTGTAGCCCAGCATCTCAGTAATGTTGATAGGATTTTTTTAGGGTAGTGGTGGGTAATAAAAATCAACTCAGAAAATTTTGAGAAAATGCTTTCTAAATCATACAGACTATAACATGATTATTATTATTATTATTATTATTACTGACAGACTAGTGGATCAGGGCTGCGTATTATGTACAGTGGCTCCCGGGAGGAAGATGACTATGTACAAGGTAAACAAACTAGGAAGCTGGACCACAACAATCCTTAGCAGGAGAGAAGCCTGCACTCTTCCGGGGTGACATCAGCCTTGGGAACAGCTTAGAAAAAGACAGGCTCCTCAAAACCATGAGTGACATAGTACAGATTCAGTAGAATTTGGAGGAAGAGCAGAGCCAGTCTGCAGACAAATGACAAGTGGGACAAGACAGGGTTTGAGAGACGGTTCCAAGTCCACGTTCTGTTCAAAGTGCAGAGTGTGGTTGTGGCAGACGCCGCAGCTGTTTGCGTGTAGGAGATCTGGGGGTTCAGATGCAGGTGAGCTTAGTGGTTCCGGCAGTTGACCCAGCTGCTGGGAGAGGCAGCCGCTTATTAATGCGCTCTGTACCATGCCTCACACGGGGTGCTGAGACGGCCGTCAGTGGGGGAACAAATCTAGCTTGCAGACGGTTTTTCTTTTTTCCTTTTCAGGATTGACTTACATTTATATATATATATATATATATTTATTTTATTTTATTTTTTTTAAAGCCAGTCAAATTTAGCAGTGGGGGGGGGTGGTATACCAACTTTAGTGACACTAATGTTAATAAGTTCTGATAACCCACTGCCATCGGACCAGCCCTTACATTTATATTTTAAAAAAATCATTTGTCGACATCCTGGGAGATTTCATAGAAACAGCCTAGATTTCCAGTTTTAGCAAAAACCCAGAAGACTGCCATCAGGGCCCTTATTCCTCCACAGCAACTTCACTTCCCCTTTTGGATGTCCGTGTGGTCTTTAGCTGCTAGAGTCCCTGTCACTGTCCTTTAGCCTCTGACGCTGTCATGCGAAAGGCTGCCGCTGAGTCACTCGACTCTTCCATCCTTTGCAGCCTAGTGAGACCCTGTCTCCTAACTGCCCCTCCCCAAAAAGAAAAAAAATTGTCTTGCAAATATTGCAGTAGATATATGCAACAGGTAACCACTTTAAACAAAAAAAGCAAAATCACGGTACCGTTATGACACTTAACTAGAGTAACAAAAGTTCTCCACACTTGTCTCTAAAAGACGTTTCAAATCGAGATCCAAACAAGGTCCACCCTTTGTATTTGACCGTGTATTAACCTGAACTAATTCCTTTTCTTCTCACGTCCTTGAAAGGTACCTTTTTGGTTTGCCTACAGAGTTTCCCACAGAAGTTGGCTAATTGCACCCTTAAGGCATCTTTTGACATGCCCATCAGTCTCCAGTGGCAGTTAGATTGACACAATATTGGGATTTATTTATTTGAAAAATATATATTTCAGGCACGACTCTGCATGATTACACCACCCCAGAAACTACATAATGTCTTGTCCCTCGTCTAATGATGCTGATTTTGGTTGGTAATTCTAGATGTAATTCTACTCTGACCATTAGTGATTTCCTCATCAACCACTGACAAATGCTTTTAGTAACCTTTTATGATCGGTGTCTAGATCTATTATTATCTTAAAAAATATTATTATTATTATTTAGGGGTGGTTGAGACAAGATCTTACCATGTAGTTCAGATTGGCCTTGAACTCATGGCAATCCTCCTGTCTCAGCCTCCTGAGTGCTGGGATCACAGGTATGCACCACTACACCCAGCTACACAATGATAGCTTTCTAATGGTATTATTCCTTTTATAACTATGATTCTAAAAATTATTTAGTTTTCCTAAGGCACAATTCATATAGAAAGGATCGAATAATTGCTTGGTTCTTTTTTCTACTAGTATTTTATAATAATGAGTTGATGCTCTAGTGATTTTCAAAAGTGGACAATTATGTTTTAGCTTCGTAGCTTTGTTGGAGTTATGGGTGATGTCCAATGAGCATCACTGATAGTGGGAAGTCATTTTTATGTGCTTATTAGACATTTGTGTAGATTCTTTTTGGTGAAGTGAGTGTTCAGAATTTTTGAACTTTTTAAATGGAATTGTTTGCCTCTTTTGTTGATGAATTACAAGAGTTTGGGGGTATATTTTAGATAGTTTCTTTGTCGGCTATGTTTTGCGAATAATTTCCACAGCTTACAAGTTAGGGCTTTCTAGAGAATCAGAATGTAGTGAATTTTGGCAACACAGTGGGCTTGCTAACCCTGTCAGTGCCATCACATTGCTGTTACAGTTTTATGAGGTCACCCTGTGTATGTGGTCTGTGGGGGCCTGAAACATGGTATGTGGCTATTGTTCTTCTTTCTTTTTATACTCAGTTTTATTTTTTCTCCCTTTTTATAGTTTCTTAAGCTGAAACTGTAAAACTAAATTCTCCTTAATTGTTTTTATTTTCCCCACTGGTTGGATGGCCACTGGGAGGATAGGCAGACGGCTGGGGTAGCCAGCTCTGGGAAGGCCTGGAGGACTGAGGAGATTTCCTTAGGAGCCCTCAGGAACGCGCATGAGATCCTGCCGTGGCAGGGCTCTCCCGTGCACATGGACTGAGACACAAAGGCCCGCAGTGGTGCTGCAGGCCTGGTGTCCGAGCTGGCCCCTGTGACCTCTTCAAGCTCAGCTCCGTCTCCCTGCCCTGGCTCTCTGGGCTGAATCTAGTCTCATCTTTCTCTGCCTTTTCCTTGTGTCTGCTTTAGAGCCTGGCAGGGCCCACTGCTGCTCTTAGAACAGCTTCCCCAGGTCTTTGGAGGCTGCTCACTCCACGGAGAGGGCTCAGCCAGGTGTAGCTCCTCACAGATCGGGCTGAGCACAGTCCCTCCCTGTCACTTGGCCTTGTTTGGCACTTGCTTATTATGTCGATGACTATCTAAAATTATCACATTTATCTCAGTGTTCCTGGTTCATCGCCCATCACTTGGCTGTACTCCCCCATGGTGCCAAGCTACCAGCGTGCGGCACGTATTCAGTGCGTGAAGCAGGATGACTCAAGCAGCACATGGGCACAGACTCGAGCTGAGTGAGGACCCAGTGCCCTGAGATGCTGTCGAGTACCTTAGGAGGTCCAGAGCTACTCCAGGGGGAAGGTAGGCCTGGGCCATGAGCTTGTCCAATTTTAGCATGGAAGGTGTCATGTTCCAGGAAATACCTTGTCCCTGGCACCTCAGGGTGGCCTGTTGCTCTCAGCTGAAGTGTTCTGATGGCAGACAGTGGCTGATGGTGAGGGATGGTTTTGTGCTGGAGCTGAGGCATGAGTGTGTCCACTTTGGCTGGTGACGGATCCTGAGCAATCCAGCTTTGACTTTCCCAGGCGCCAGGCCTGGAGGGAAGGAGAAGTTGTAGTTTCTTAAACTCCTGCAGTGACCTGACCACAGGTCTCTGTCCTTGCTTGCCTAATGTATTCCTTGACTGTTCTTATTGTTTCCATTTTGGAGACACACACTGAGGCTCAATAAGGTTGTGTGATTGCCCAATTTAGACGGACTCTATGGGACAGAGGAGGTGAGAGTGACTGGTTTTGTTCACACCTTGGTCCAGACCTCCCCAGCTGTTTCATGTGAGGGCGAGGCCCAGAGGTGTGGCTGGGACCTCGGTCTGACAGTCATTCCACAGTCTCTGGAACCCAGCCCTCCTCGGTGCCCCCACTGTGAGCTGGGTAAGGGGCTTTCTTTTGCCAGATGAGTGGCTGTGCCCGGCTGCGCAGTCTTCTACCGCACGGTGGCGCTGTGGCCCTGTTCAGGAAGGGTCTTCACCTCTGGTACCTGGGCAGGAGCAGCCACTGGCCGGATTTCACCCTGAGACTGCAGGACAGCTGCAGCTGCAGCCTCTCTGTAGCTTTAACAGTGGCCCGGATCGACCCTCAGGGTGCACAAAACACGCACAGCAGCTTGGGAGCAGTGGGCGGGAGTGGGAGAAAGGGCAAGTGAAGGCCCGGGCTGGGGAACAGGAAGGCAGGCAGACAGGAGGGTCCTGGCCGCCCAGCTGGTAGAAAGATGCAGAAAGGATTTATGCATGGGCCTAGGTCTCCACTGGGCCATTGTCGATTCTCGATTCTCGGCAAAAAGCAGCACTGCCATCTGTAAACGTTTAATCCTTCGAAGCCTGCCCAGCACCGCTGGGAGCCTGCTGAGAGCGATCAGCTTCTTAATTCTGTCTTTTCCCCGTCTCTGGGCTGAGGGCTGAGTCATTAACTCGTTGCATAGAATCAATTAAAATATTTGATTTAAATTTAAAATGTCATGTAAGTTTTTTCATAGGTAATAAACTGATGGGTTCAAAATTCAAAAGGCTTTTCCTACTGAATATATGAACAAACCGGTTGCCAACAATTCCTAACAGAAAAGCGGCAAGGACCTTGAAAGAGAAGCATTAAAACCAGGTGGAAAGTGTCACCCTTGGGGCTGCAAAAACTTTCTTCTTGAGTCCTGAGGATTACCAGTGTTGGAGGATATTTTTGATGTGCAGGATTCCAGGTTGTATGAAGTCATGTGGTTTCTCACTGTGATCTTGTTTCTGTATAGAGAGTCGTTGCTCTCATCCTGAGAGTAGTCTTTTTTCCTCATTTTCTTCATTGGTTTCCTCATGGTTTCATAGTTTGCTGTCTTATCCACCTCAGAGATGTTTTATCATTAGTGACATGATGGAGAGATGGGGCCTAGAGTGGTGAGAACGGTGCGTTGGGAGGACAGTTGGTCTGGGACCATGGTCCTGCCTCTGTCTGGAGTTTCGGCCAGCAGCAGCAGTTATCCAAGACAGGACAAGCTGGCTGAGAGGGGTCCACTTCCGGAGGGAGCCCTTTTTGCTGAGGTCTGGGAACTGACTTGTCCAGGGCAGACTGGGCTCACAGGCTGGCCATCGTGACCTGTGAGCCCAGTGAGCAGGACTCCCAGGGCATGAGGTCAGGACATAAGGATCATCTGGGTGGCTCTAGGGGATGGCCTGTCACGAGTTCTGTCCTCTGGGTGGCCAGAACCCAGAGCTCAGAGACTGGGGAGCCAGGGAAGTTGTAAGACTGAGAACTCTGAACAGGGACCAAGGTGTCCCAGTGTATTGGGAACCCAGGCAAGAATCCTCATCATCAGTCTCAAGAATGTGGCAAGAAAAATAAAAACAGAGACAAATACAGTATTCCAGCAATGGCTGGGAAGGCAGTGTCTCTGGGTCGGCTGCTCCCAGAGCAGCCACTATTGATTAGGCATATACAGTGATAGGTGGGGTTAGTAGCATATTACAATTTGTCCAAGACTCCCACTTCACAGGGCATAGATAATCTTATGTTTAGAAATATCTTGACCTGGAGTATCATCCTGAGATGACTCAAGAGGGTGTAGATGACTCAGTGGGAAATCCCAGATGGTGGTATCAATAATCCCAATCCTTCCTATTATCCCATAAGGAAATATGCAAAATTAGCCGCTGTGAATTTGTGGTCCTCAATACCAGTGGGCAGTGAAGGACTTGGAGAATCATAATAGCCATTGCTCAAGGTGTCCAATCTGTCCTTGTTGCATTTCAGAAAATGGTGTTTATGTCTCTGAGCACTCAGGAAATGGAGCCCCTGTGTACATGTCGGGCCGGGAGCATCTTCAGGGACAGTTCTCCTGCGTGGAGCCTGGTCCCTCCTCCCTCCTCTCTCTCCATGTCTCTGGATGCTGAAGTGCCTATATGGACCTGTTCACAGGGGGTCCCTTGTCTGGGCACCGAGGAGGGGACACAGCTTATGGCTGGAAAGCAGGCAACCCACTTTGTGCCACCTGCGTCCTGTGGCCTCAGATTGCAGGCTCTGCTTTCATCATCCATACAGTGGGGTGATGCCTTTGCAACCTGGGCCCCTCAAGGAAGAATGGAAGAACAAGAGGAGCCATCCTGTCCCCACAAGGGGTTGCCTGGGGATAACCGTAACTATTTGCAAGCGCTGCTGTGGAGTGGGCTTCGAGGGGCATGACCCTCAAAGATATCAGAATTTGCCCTTAAGGGAATAGGGATTCCATGAGTGCACACTGATGTCAGCTTCAGCAAAGGAACAGGCATTCCACATATCCCACCTGTGCGAAGCTGTTCAGGAAACAGAATGATGAAGAGTCACTAAACAAGTTGTATGTTTTGCTAATTTATGTCTCTGTTGTAGCATTAAAATTTAGACAATGTGGATGAGAACTAACTACTTATTGTCAAATAAAATTACAAAACAGCCAAAAAATGGGATGTGGCTGTGGCTCCAACCTGCATTGCAGATGATCAAACGAAGACAAAGGAAGGTGAATCGTCAGCTGCAACACACCCTCCTGTGGCTGCTCCCAAAGGGGAATGGAGCCTGCTTCTCCTGTTAGCTCCAGCAGGTGGCAGCATTTCATTCCGTGTGTCTCAGCTCCACCCCGGCCCCCTTCCAGACTCACAATGTGTAGGATCAGGGTAGCCAGGCACAACTGACCGCCACATTCCCACTTCCCTAGGTGCAAAGGGGTCAGGGGAAGGCGGGTCCAGAACGCCTGGCCTTAAAAGGTCTTGGAAAGAGAATGAGAAAGCAGAGATCAGAAAGGAGGGTGAGAAAGGGTGAGAGACTTGGGCTGAAGAGTGACCCTGTCCTTTGCTGCCGCCATGGTCTCCCAGCCCTCCGGGAGGAGGTAGTTTGGGACCCAGAAGGCCAGGACTTGTCCTCTGTTGTTGGAAAGGCTGCTGGCATTTCAGCGAGGAAGGGGTGGGTCTTTTGTTTTTGTGTGTGTGAAAGGATTGAGAATTCACATCATTCTACAGTTCATATGAGTGGTGGCATGGGGGGTTGGGTCCTTTATTTATTACTTTATAATCTGGCCTCTCTCCCAGTCGCTGCGTGATGATTAGTGAGAAGAACAATGAAATGCTCACTTTGATTTAAATGTCATGGGACCAGAGTGCTTAGCCTGTCTTGTTATGCAATCTTAATTTCTCTCGCATCAAAGTGCTCAGGTTTCAGATTCCTTCCCCAGCTTCCCCCTACATTGGGGTCAGGGTGCATGGATGGACAAGGACAGCTGTGTGACATCTGTCAGGAGGAAGGGGTTGGGATCCTGGGTGTGGTGTCTGCTGATTTCCTGGCAGGGCCTTGGTTTCCCTTTCTCACCCTGCCCCCCTTACCATCTCAAACTGATTCCCCTTGCAGAGAGTTTGCCCTGGGTTGTGGGCTAATCCAAGCCCCACCAGCTCTGGCCCCTCTCTCCTGTGGGGTCTCCTAGCTATGCAGCTGTGCGCCTGGCAGGCCTGGCGGCTTACAGCTCAGCAGCCAGGCCGCTGGGTGGGAACCTGGAGCCCTGCTGTGGTGGCGGAGGCGGTGGTTCTGGGCAGCCTGGGTGATCTTCTGTAGAGCTCCAAGGCCCACAAGGGACCAGGTCCCTCTCCCAGGCAGGGTGAGCTGGACAGACATGGCCCCTTAGGTCCTGTTGGTGGCCTTCTTCCTAGTTGGCTTGCCACCATCCCCCAAGATGAGGACTGAAACTGTTCTGCCCTGACATCCATTCCATAAAAATTCCCAGTCATGGGGCTGGGGATTTAGCTCAACGGCATAAGCACCTGCCTTGCAAGCAGGCGGACGTAAGTTCAATCCCTGATACCGATTTAAAAAAAAAAAAAAAATTCCCAGTCACACCCAAGGAGAGATGCAGGGTTCCAGAACATATGTTCTCAAGAGGAGAGCCTGGTTTACCAGACTGCCGGCTCACAGCATAAGCCTATTTTGTAAGACTGATGCCAAACATTACCATGCTTTTTCTCTCTTTTTTTCTTTTTCTGTCTTATTGTTGTTTGTTTGTTTTTGAGGCAGGATTTTGATATGTAGTCCAGTCTAACCTTGAACTCTTGGTGATCCTCCTGCGTCAGCCTCCTGAGTTCTGGGACTACAGGTATGCGCCACCATGCATGGCCCACAATGTTTTTTTCTATCAAATCCCACTTTCTCTTGAAGCAGAGATTGTTTCCGAAAGCTTGCGAAGAAGATGAAGCTCATGGGGTCTGCATCAAGGCAAAAGAGAAAAACTCAGTCCACAGATTTTCAAATGCCGCACCTGAAATGGTTCCAAGAGTGGATGATGGAACCGAAGAAACCATAACAGGTACACAGTGGGTGCCTCATCCACAAGGAAACTTCACCTTTGTGCTGGGATGAGACTTCGTCTTCCTGGGGAAGGTGCACAGTGAGACAGTTGCCACTCGGGTTACAGGAGGATCACACTGTGGAAAGGATTCCTGGTGCAGGAGGAATCCTTTTGGGAGAGATATCAGCCCAATGCCAGAAAGGAAGGCTGTGATTGATGGATGAAAGGAAGACTGGGATTGGTGGGCTCTGGTCCCACCCCTCACGTGCCGTTTCCAATTAGAGAAAAGAAGATGGAGGCAATGGCCACACCTCACCCTGGGAAAACCTCCTTCTTGATGCTGGCATCTCCCCTTCCAGGTGAGAAGACACACATACACCTTTATACCACGCATCTGAGTCTAAACCTGTGGGTGTGGATACGCACATAATAATTACAACTAACACCTCTTTGAAACAGACCACACTGCAGACATTGTATAACACTGTAAAACGATCATGTAATTTAATCCTTAGAACAACTTCATGAAGCAGTATTATTTACCCCATTTAACAGATGTGTGGCTGGAGTCAGGGAGGCCAGTTCAGGATCACAGAGCAAGTCAGCAGTGAGCTGGGCAGTGTGGCCTCAGGGCTGGCCAGCTGAACCAGGGGCTCTTGGGCCATCCACACACAGGCCCAAGCACAGACTTCGTGTGGGAGCTTTGGAACTTGCAGGGGTCAGGCTGGGGGAATCTGGGGAGGATGCCAGGCCAGCCTTTAGATAGCTATACCGGGTTCTGATTTAGCTTGGCTAAGGACTCCAAGACTCCTGGCCTCCCCCACCTCGTCCTCTGTGTATGCTGCTCCCTGCCCCATGGACTGTCTTAATTTCTTCTCTCAACCCGGTTTTCCACCTTCCTGGGGCCATGCATTCCCAGCTGGAGGCCTTGAAGGGGCTTCCTGGGCCTCCTGGGCTTTTGGGGGAGGGGTCTCTGCAGAAAGGTCCAGGGTGCTCAGCAAGCCTTCAGCCTGAGGGGCCACCGCGTTGTCTCACCGTGGCCCTGGCCCAGTGGACGTGGGGCTGAGTGTGGCTCTGAGCTGGAGCTGGGCTTGGAAGGTGCTGAGGGAAGAGTTGTCATCCGGGAAAGTTCCAGCAAGTTGGAGACTCTGAGATCACCCTGTTCAGCCTTCTCATTTTATAAGTGGGGAAATGGAGCCTGAGGTAGGAAGGGGTGTGCCCCGGTCACCCTGCAGGCCTCAGCGGTAGGTCTTGACTCTGACCCAGGGTTCAGGGTCACAGAAGGAGCTCTGTGCAGGGAGGACAAAGGTGAACAGGGCAAATGTCCTAAGTGCACACACGGTGGAAATTCAGGGTGAACTGGGACAGAGGCCGGAAGAGTCACAGTGCTTCTCTGTGCGGCTGATTGAGAATGTGATCCAGACCCATGACCTTTGGAGACAACTCTGACTGTGGCTTGGTGGGACATAGGGGCATTTTCTCTCCAGAACAGAGCCCAGAAAAAAGGCTGCATACTCACCAGAAGCCCTGGGCCTCACCAGAAGCCCTGGGCCTGGGTTTGCAGTTCACTGAAAGCAATCTGCACTGCCACTGGGCTGCTCACCGCCCAAGGCTTCAGGGTTCCTGTGCTTCACGTCCTGGCCAGTCTGCCCCTGTGCTTCACCATCATCTCCCAGGAAAGCCTCCCAGCAGCCTGGTGGACAGTCAGTGCAGCCTTTCTGTCCCCCTTCCATTTTATTCATTAGGAAACTGAGGGACAAAGGGACTAAGGAACCTGCCCGAGGCCCTAGTTAGGTGACCACATGGGACTCAGCCCAGCTGTGGGCCTGGTCCTGGATGCCGCTGTTCAGCTAGGGAGGTTCTGAGAGCCCCATCCTGTGGACCAGAAAGAGGAAGCCGGCCCCGGGTCAAGATCATCCACCCGCAGGGGACATGTGTCTTCACTGTGCTGTCCTGGTCATCAAGGAGCTGGGGCTGCTACCACCTCCTTACCTCAACCACCCCATCTCCTTTCTTTCTTCCCCTTTTGATTAAAGCACAGCAGATCCCTCCTACTTTAATTTTGCTAAAGAAATCAAGCTTTTTCAGAAATAATTTTTTTTTGAGGTACTGGAGATTGGATCCAAAGCTTTTGCCCTTAACTATGTCTCGACCATTTATATATTTATATATGTATGTTGAAACATTGTCTTTTTTTTTTTTTTTTTTTTTTTGTCTTTTTCATTTTTACCGGTACCAGGGATCGAACTCACGACCGCCTGCTTGCAAGGCAGGTGCTTATGCCGCTGAGCTAAATCCCCAGCCCCTGAAACATTGTCTTAATCAAGTTGGAAAATTGTCTAGGCAGGGCTGGAACTTGTGATATTGTCTCAGTCTCCCAGAGTGCTAGAATTCACTTCATGCTTGGCTGAAGTTATTATTTTTAGGTGAATAACAGTGCGTAAAATATTGAAGACAACTGAGTTTCATTATTATTGTTAGCATGTCTGGGACCCTGTCGATGGGCTACTGATATGGGAATGGGTAATGAAGGTGTATAATTTATAAATTAGTAGTATTTATCCTGTAAGATTAATTTTCTTGCCTTAGTTTCGGCAAAATTAATAATCACATTTTTTAAACTGAGAACTGATTTGTCTTCTAGTTCTGGTTGTGATCTAAAAGATTAAAAAGGCTGTGCTTGGAGTTTAGTTGTCCGTTGCTGCATAGCAAATTGCTTCCCTGTTTAGTGGTCTCACCACTACTTTACCCTCTCTCCTGGTTTGGGGGTGCTGGGCCGAGTGGGGCTCATTCCAATCTTGGCTCTGGCCTGAGGAGGTCTCTTGCCACAGTGGGTAGGTTGTGGGTGGGGCTGGAGCCAATCAGGAGTCCCCTGGGATGCGGGAGGTTCTGGTCCTTTCTATCACCCATGTGACCCTTGGCCTCTCTCCCAGAGTAGCCGGGCTTGTTCACAAGACGCTCAGCACTCCCTGAAACAAGCATTTTAAAGGGACAAAGAAGTCACCAACTGTCTTACTGGGTGCCTTCCAAATTTAGGCACTGTAATCCCACCAACATCTCTAGTTAGCATGAGTCTCGGGCTTGCCTGGAGTAGCTGGGGAGAGAACAGAGGCGCAAGCACAGGAGGACTTGTGCGCTGGGGTTATGTTGGAAGACTGGCCCCACAGTGCTGGGAGAGGGTGTGTGCTGTTGTTAACCTAGAATCTGGGATTTTGCAGCACTGTTGTTTCTGCAAAAAGCTTCCGTGGAAGAAAAGGCAAAGGAAAATCCAGGAGCTGCTGGTAAACCACTGTTTCAAGTAAAGACGGAGCCAAGGGTGTGGCTGAAAAACCTGTCTTAATGCCTTGGAACAATTTAGGCACCTCTTGTAGACTGTTTGGCAGTCACCAGTGCTTCCGGGAATCTTAGGCTGTACCTCTTAGATCCTCCCCCGGACCACGCAGCGTGCTGGTGTAAGGAGACAAAGGCCTTGCTGCAAGAATTGGAGCTGTGCCTTTTGTCCACCAGAGCAGGCTATAGTCTGATGCATAAGAAACCCATGAAGCTTTTGAAAGCAGCTCTTCTGCGCGGAATCTCCTGAAGCTGAGTTTCTCCTCTCTCTGCTCATCTCCCATGGATCAACTGCAAGCCTCTGGTGTTTCCTCACACACACTCGCAAGACTTCTCAGAGACTCTGGGAGACAGGAGGAGGGCTGCTAAGGCACGGCTTCGGGGCTGCTGCCTCGGGTGCCAGTCCTGCTTGTCCGCCTCACTGTCCCTCCCTCTCTCTGCTTCTTCCTTCATGTTTCTCTGCATCGCCTTCCCGTCTTGTGCTCTTTCTCCCTGACCCAAGTGAAGGGGGCTAAACGTGACTTGGTGTATCAGACTCTGCATGCCGTAAGCCCAGATGCGCTTTCAAGGATGTTGCTGTGCAACTGCCTGTGTCTAGTTTGGGGCGAGACAGAGCTCAGGAGACCTGATAGGCAGTGAGAGCTGAGCTTTCCTCTTTGCAGCACTAGGATTGAATCCAGGGCTTTTGCACTGAGCTGAATTTCCAGCTGTTTTTTTATTTTGAGACTGAATCCTGCTGAGTTGCTAAACTGCCCGGGCTGAACTTAAACTTTGTGACCCTCCTCCTTCAGCCTCTCAGAGTACTGGGATTACGGGCCTGCATCACCGCTCCCACCTGGGAGCTTGGTTTTCTGGCTACTCCAACCCTTGCTTCCTGTAAAAGGAATGCAAATCCACAGCACAGGGTTGTATAGATACCATCATAGTCTCCCTTCAACTCTGCCCTTTGGGGTCTAGGTCCAAGTCTCGGGATCGATGCCCTTTGAAGACTCAAGGGATGGCAGGCCCAACCAGAGCCAGGAATATACACTTCAAAGGTTGAGCCGTCTCTCTTTTCCCTTGGCCACTGTGATCTTTGTCACTTTCCTCCCCTGGGAGTATCTGGAGGGCCTGGCCATGGAGAAAGATGAAGGCAGAATTGCTGGCTCAAGGTCCATGCATATAATAAAGGCGCCTCCCAGCTCCACCTAAAGAATGCATGGTGTGCGGTCACTCACGCACATCCCTAGGGCAGCAGACTTCCCGCCACCAACCATCTCTTAGTGCAAAGCCAGCATCTTTTCCATCTGTGTTGAAGCTGCGGCCTATGAAATTGTGTCTATAAAAACAGAATTGCAAGTAAAAATATCAAATGCAGTAAGTTATAGCTGCACAGTTTCTCTCCTGAGGGATGCCCTGGTCAGAGAGCATCCAACGTTCCCCTCTAGGATGTTGGCTTGTGTTTCCTCAGAAAGCGCCCCACTGGTCCTGGGAAGAAAGGGCCTGGATGACGGAAGTCTATTCAGTAGAGCTGTGGTGCTTGGCTGGCCGTACCTGCCTGGCATCTTAATTTTTCTTCCAAAGCAGAGTTGTTCAGCTGCAAAATGAAGGCAAAAAAGGAGTCTGCCCAGGGGAGCATTGCTGGCCGGCTTCCATCACGACAGTCGCCACCCTCGTCGTCAGCCCTCTGCCACAAGTCAAGACCCTGCACCGTCTTTTTACCCGATGTAGCTCATGCATCACTTCCTGGTGTCAGATAAGCGCTAGGGGGAGGGGGAACCTAGGAGAGTGATGATGTGACAGAGATGGAGGCTTAAATTCTCCAGGGAGATACAGGTAGCTGTGTAAAAAATTTAGAACCAAAGGAAAGTTATCAAGACAAAAAGAACTGAAGAATTCTCCCAGAGTTCAAAGAGAGACAGAAAAATGGATGAGAGGGAGCATCTTTATCATCCCAGCACTCAGGAGGCTGAGGCAGTAGGGTCTTGAGTTTGAGGCCAGCCTGAGCTACATAGCAAGACCTTACTGCACACAAAACAAGACAAAACAAGAAGACAAAATGAAAATGAAAACAGAGAGACAGAGATAGAGACAGACAGAGACTTGTAGAAGGAAGTGGATTTTACTCTGGACCTATGGAAACAAAACAGGGAAAGGCCCCTCTGGAAGAGAAATGGACACAGAGATGGGAATGAGAATTGAATTCAGCTGAGCTGTACCCCAAGGATTCTGAGGCACAGATAGGACAGCGGGTTGAGGGGCGGCTGGGATGAGATCAAGGAACAGGAAGCATAAAAGAGAACCCACTTAGCCTGAGGCTCGTGGCCTTTTCCCTGGTGGAGAGGTGGAGGAGCACCGGAGCCACTGAGCTGTGGGAGGGCGGTGGGTGCTGGACACAGTCCCTCTGTGGGTGGTCGGGCCCTGTGAAGAGTCTCTCCATACTCTCTTCCCTAAAAGGTGCCCAGTCCCCCTCACTTCCCACAGGGTAGTTAAAAAATTCAACACCAATTTTGAGTGCTTGCCATATGCTTTAAGTCCTACTCTTTTGTACTTTGTCCCCTTGCCTTAAGTGTGTGAGTGTGTGTATGTTTGTGCACACTACACCCCTACACTTTACCTCAGTGCAAACACAAGCACGAGAGCCTTCCTAAAAGTGGCTTTTGCTCCAGAAAGGTGTGGAGTGTGTCATTGTCACCTCCCGTGGCCACCTTGCCCTTCTCTGTGGAAGCAGTCAGTGTGACCTGCAGTGGTGGTCAGGAGAGAAGCCCAGGGCTCCAGACAAGGGCATCCCTGAGTGTCAGTGGCAGGAAGACCAGGCTGCCCATGTCTTAGGGCATTGTGGCCTCTGTGCTTGGTGCCAAGGGGAAGCTGGCCTCACCTCACCTTCCCGGTGATTCGGATGGGAATCACTGGGGTTGCATTGGAGGAGGAATTTCCCAGCTCTTGTCAAATCCTTTACTTGGCCGGGGTGACCAGGCTGGGCCCAGGGCTCTGACATAGCTCATTCTCTCTGGGCCCAGCCGGGAAAATGTGAGAGCTCTGCAGAGGGAGGAGAATGGTCCAGTTGTCAGTTGGGGTTGGGCACTGACCCTCTTTCTCTGGCAGGCGTTTGGGAGTCAGAGCTTGGATCTCTCCTCCACCCTGCAGAGATGGAGTGCCAATCCAAGGAGCCGGGAACTGTGGGAGAAAAGGGCTGGTGACCCTTCCTGCCTCCCTGTCTGGTCCTTATTCTCCTGAGACAGGCAGCGAGCGCTCTTCCGAGCTGTGCTGGCAGCCGGGCTGCATTTGTGGGAGGTGGTGTTTATGTGAACGCACAAATGTTTATGTGAGATTGCCAGCCGGTTATTTATGAGCCTCTCGGCCTTCCCCCAATAAAAGCTGTTCCTTCAATGTCCTGACAGGCCCTGCATCTGCAACCAATGTGTTACTTGCTCAGCTAATGCAGTCCACTTGTGTTTATTTTTGCACAAAAGCAATTTATCCAGGCACTCTGAAAAAAAAGAAAAGAAAAAAAGAAAAAAATGGTCCTGTCAGGAGTCTTCTTGGGAGTGGCATGTTTTTCTTCAAAAGAAGTTCCAAATGGCTGTCGGGACAGGATAGGCCACTGGGCCGAGCCTCTGGGGTCCAGGGTGTGAGGGAGCGGGCAGGGGCTCTGCGGAGGTGTGTCTGTGGTCTGTCTGTGATGGCGGGCTCTGAGAGTTTGCCTCTGAATCTCAGTTCTGCCCAGGAGTACTGGGTGATTTTAAAAGGATGTTGGCAGTGGGGCTGGTGCTATTCCTGCTGGTCACCATAAGTCAAAGTTGGGAAAGTGGGTTATTGGGGTGAAAGGGCTGGAGGGGGAAGCCCGAGGGAGGAGGGGGATGATGATGGGGGAGGGTGAAAGGGGGATGCTTGGCTTTGTGGGAGAAGGAACATGAGACGAGGAGCACACAGGCCTGTCCCTGGTGACCTTTGGAGGCAGAGTGCCCGGGCTCTCGCTCCTGCCTGGGTAACTGGCCATTTCGCCTGTTTTCCTTCAGAATTGGCAGTCCGCCCGGTGGGGGAGGGGATGCTCCGTGGGCCTGTTTGGAGAGACATCTCCAGTTGACAACTGGATTTTGAGGGAAAGAAACGGAGAAATGGGATGAGGGGGATACAGCAGGGACCGGGTTGGGAGTGGACTGAATGCTTGGACTCAGCCACAGAAGGACAGACAGCCACTGGGCTGGGGAGGGGTCTGGTGGCTCTTGGGGTGGCCAGCTGTGTCCCTTTAATGTCACTCTGACCCAGAAGCCATCTCACACAGCAGCTACTAAAGGCTGGAAAGTGATGCCTGGTGCCTGGAGACACGGCAGGCCATCATGGCAGTCTGTCTTGTCCTATCAAGAGGGCCCCAAAGCCACAATGGTGTACAGGTCAGTGGTTCCTAAACCACGTGCCTGAGGGAGCTGGGTGCCCATTCACTGTAACAAATGTCCTCTGCCAGCTCAGATAGGATTGTGGCTTTCTTGTCCCAACGTGCAGGAAAACATCTCATTTGCTTTTTCAGCTCCACACCTCGGGTTATTCCAGTGCGAGTCCACCAAGCCTCTGATAAGTGAGTAGATATTTGTTTAAACGCAGAGTAGGCGGCATGCAGTGTCCGCGTGGGGTGCTGTGTGAGTGTCTTGGGTCCCTGCATAGGCCACAAGGCCTGGGGACCCCTTCCCTCCCCTGTGGCCACCAGCACCTGCTCTAGGACTCAGCCCACCTTTAGAATCTGAAGAGACGGAAGTGCAGGGCTGGCCCACAGCCCTTATGAGGCTCAACTCTCACTCTCCTGGCCTCAGTCAGTCCTGCTTGATTGGTTTATTTATTTTGCAGTGCTGGGGATTGAAGAAATCTAGGACCTTCACAATGAGCTACATCGTAGCCCTTTTATTTTTTATTTTTTATTTTTTTGGTCTTTTTCCTTTTTATTGGTACCAGGAATCGAACTCATGGACTGTCTGCTTGCAAGGCAGGCAGTTATGCCGCTGAGCTAAATCCCCAGCCCCCCTTTTATTTTTTGAGACAGGGTCTCCCTAAGTTACTAAGTTGCTAGGTTGTCCGGGCTTGCTTGGCTCCAGTTTACAATCCTCCTGCCTCAGCCTCCCGCAGTGCTGGGATTGCAGGGATGCACCCCCACACCCCGCACAGTGCCGCTTTCTGCTGGGCTAATGTACCTGCTTTCCTTCTGCCCTTCCTTTACCCTGTTTCTTGCTCCTGCAAGCTGGGAAAGGGCCATCTACTAAATATAAAGATCGAGGAGCCACATTTTCCACTAGCAGAATCATTCTTGGGTCCTAAGATGAGGTTCCCAAGCTCCAGTGCCCCAGGGCCAGGAAGGTAATGTGCTGTGCGCTGACTCAGGGCTGATGAAAGATGGTAAATGGCCCCTGGTCTCCCATTGGGTCGGTCAGGGAGTGGTAGGAACCAAGGCGTCTCCCCTCTTGGCAGCAGGACGTTGTAGTGGGGGAATGCAGCCCTGGGAAGCCAGTTCTTCTATTTCCGCATCTGTGTTTTTATGAGAATTCTCCTACTCTACGTGTTGGCAACAGATTCCAATGTCAGACATGCTGTGAGTCAACCGAGACACGTCCCTGGCTGACTGTGGCCAGTGTACCCCCTGCCATTGTGAAAGATGGCAGAGCCACTGACATTTGGAGATGTGCACAAGACCCGGGATCTCCACCTGCACTGGTGTCTGAATTCCTGGGTTTGAATCCAGCTCAGAGGTTTGCTATAGTTCTGAAAGGGTGACAAACGTAGCCCATGTCCTGAGGGCCAGGCACGGGGCCCGAGCTGTCCTGCTTTTCCTCCCGCAGGGACAGAGGCTCCTTCCTCTCCTGAGCAGATACTGTGGAGCCTTCTGGGCCTGGGGCCCTGGATAAGGAGCCTCATATCATAGGGGTGACAGGACTGAAAGTGGGGAGAAGGGGTGCTCAGCTCAGCTCCTGGGTTCTGCTCTCTGTGCAGGTGGCAGATGTGGCCCCTCTCCCAGAGAAAGTCTGGGGGCTGGGAACAACCCCAAATCTCCACTTTTCCTCCTTTGATTCAGCCTGGTAAGTTTAGTCCCCAAGGGCAGCATCTAGGTGGAGGGGACACAGCCCCAGCACCATCCCAGATATTCTGAGGCACCCCAAGGCCAGCTTGGCAACCACCACCAACATGGACAGGACACATGCTTTGGTCCCAGATATCCACGGCTTCTGGGTCATCTAATGAATCAGAAAGAGTTCCAAGTAGTGGCCTAGTACTTAATTAGCATGTGACTGAGGCGTGATATCACTCCTGGGTGTCAGTCCCCACCTCTGTGGAAGGAGTCTTAGTCACCTGCTCCTTGCTGAGACACAGTGTTACCGGTGCTTAAAGAAGGAGAGCTTTATTTCAGCTCATGGCTACCATCCCTGCTTGGGTGATTCCAAGGCAGAAACTGCACCCTGGAAGGATCTGGACAGTCAGGACTCAGCCAGTGAAGAGGGGGACACACCCTTCCAGGTCACTTTGGTGCACTCTGGTGATCCAACTCTTCCAACCAGGGTCACCTCCTAAGAGTACACTGAGCTATAGCTTCCTGTGATCCAGTCACCTTCCAAAAACCTGTATGTGTGTGTGAGCGTTTGGGGCTCCTTCTTAATTTAAAACATAACTGAAGTTCTGGCTACTTGGTCTGTAACCTGCGTCCAGCCTCAGCATTTTCTGTATTTTCTGTTAATACTCTTTAACCCGCTGCTACCATAGCTCAATTCAGTGTGTCTTGCAGAGCAGCCACGGGGACAGCTGTTCACTGTTAACTCACCAGCACGAGTCAAGGCATGAACTTCCTAGTAGATACTGGTTAGATGTTGAATGGATGAACAAGGGCACACCCTAGGATCAGGGCGCTGGCTACATACACAGAAAGCCAGTGGGCAGGATACCTGGGCTGGGCCCACGGCCACAGGGATGACTGTGGTCATCATCACTGTGCAGGTCCAGGGATTAAGCCCAGGGCCCTCACACTGAACTACATCCCCACTCCTTTCTATTTACTTCTATTTTGAGACAGAGTCTTGCTAACTTGTTTAGACTGGGCTCAAACTTGAGATCCTCCTGCTTCAGCCTCCCAGAGGGCTGGGATTCTAGGTGTGCATCACCACACCTGCTGAACGTTCCTAGTTTTAAGAGCACAAATCTTTGGTGGTTTTGTGGTGGAGAATCCGAGCTCTGCGTGGAGGGTGACTGGAACATGAGACTGAGCCACCAGTTCTGCTGTTGGAGGTGGGAGGGTGTCGAGTCCTGGGTCCTTGGAGGAGCTGGAGGAGAAGCAGGGACTGGCCACACGCTGGGCAGTAGCTCTGGGGGAGGGAAAGGAGCCTGGAGCCCATGGATGCTGGACAGCCACGGGTGGGGCCGTGGAGTGGGAGTCTGGGTCTGTTTCCTCACCCAGCCTTGAGCTCCTGTGCCTTCCACTGTGTGAGGACCCCCTGGAGGCAACTGACTTCTCCAGGAGTGGAGTGCAGGTCCCAGGCTTGGTGGGGGGCATTTTCTCTCCCCAGGGGTGTTGCTCCCAGAGTTGCTGAAGCACCAGGAAATCTTCTGGGAGACTTCGGACCCCAAAGGCACCGTCTGTAAGGCTGGAACATTTTCTTCACCCCTTCAGGTCCTGTTCTCCTCAAAGCACTATCATTCAACAATAAGTCAGATAGACAAAGAAGACAATTCAGGAAAACAAAGGCAATTAAAAGTAAATAAACACACGAATAAAAGTAAATAAAGAACAGATACACCAAAACAAAGAGTGATACAACAAACACCCAGGGAGCTGCAAATGGGTTTCAGAAATGGGATTACAAGTGCAGTTGGAGACCTCCCGGGGCCCTGCCAGACTCCTCCCTCCCGCTGCAGCCCACCCCAAAGGAAGAGCCGCTGCCCTGGATTGGGGGCTTTCGTTTCGCTTTTTCTTTTCTTCCTCTTCCCCTTCCTCCTTTCCTTTCTTTTCCTTCCCTTTCCCTTTCCTTTTTTCCCTTCCTCCTCCTTTCTCTGTCCCTTCTGCCTTCCCTCTTCCCATCTTTCTCCTCTGCACATGCAAATTTTCTTAGAACATTTTGTGTTTTGCATGCTTTGAAATTCTGTGTAAACCATGTCATTCCAGCGAGTTCTCTGCAATTAGCTTTTCTTCTCTCTCAACATGCGGATGGGCGTCACACCAGCTCACATGAGTAACTCCGGCTCAGTTACTTCCAAATCCTGTTGTATGAATCTTCGGTTCTCCAAGGAGCACTCCTGGGGCACACCCTGGAGGGGTGGCTCCGGTCATGGGGTGTGGGACAGCTCCAGTTGTAGGGCCACCCTTTTGGGATGCTGAGCCCTGTTCCTCCTTCCGCAGAACCATTGCTTCACTGAGGAGGAATCCAAGTGGATTTCAGGCAACCTCACAGTTTCCATAAATCAGCATTAAAAGCAGAGCCCCAGCACCAAGACACATCGCCAGGCTGATTCGGACCTGCTCACCAGTGAGATTTGTGTGCCCTGCATGGACTTGGGTTTCCAAGCCCTGCGCCAGCCCCTGTGCCACCCTGGCTCAATGGCCACTTCCTCTCTGCGTGACCCTCCTTGCCTTGCCCCATGGCCTCCAGGGTGTGTTTTACTATGTGACTGTAAGGTGGCCATTGTGCAGCTTTGGAAGACCGTTTCAGGCTACCTGGGCTGAGGGGCTTACGCCATAGCCCCCTCCCAAGGAGTGACACAGAGAATCCCATGCTAGCCCAACCCCAACACCAGGATACCCTGGGCTGCCCTGCGCCATTATTTTGGCCTTCTCAGGCCCCTTCTTTCATAAAAAATATGAAAAATTGTATCACAGGACTGTACTGGTATGACTGAATATGATCCAGGTGGAGGTACTTATTAGTCATTACTATTACAATATTTAGTTTTTTTTTCTTCTGATTTTTAAAGAAATTAGAACATCTTCCTGGGCCTCTAAAGGAAGCACTGGTCCAGGTACCATGACTGCGGGGGCTGGTGTCCCACAGAGCTCGACACCTGCCCTGTGGAATGACCAGCCCTCTCTGCTCCTGCTCCCTTCTCCGCTGGCACCCACCAGAGGGAGGATGAGGCTCCCCTCAGCCCCGGCCTGTCTCACTGCGGGGGCTGATGCCATGTGAACAGAGACCTGGTGTGTTCAGCGGCCTAATGGAGGCGGAGGCCTCTGGGCTGTCCCATGTGGGCCTGGCTGAGCAGAGGAGGGCTCCGGAGGAAAGTGTGGAGTTTGGGAGGGCAGAAGCGCCCCTGAAGGGACCTGTGTCAGGGTCTGAGGACCAGGGCTTGTCCAAGTTGAAGGCATGATGCGCTGTGTACCAGGCAAAGACCTGTCAGTCCAAGGTTGCAGAGTGAAGCTTAATTTCTCGGGGGCTTTGGGCTGAGCTGGGGATGGGGAGGCAGCGACAGTTCAGAGGAAGTGAGGAAGGGTTGTCAGAACTCCTGCCACAGACAGAGTGGCTTAACTGACAGAGATGTATTTCTTTTTACATCTCGGGGGCCTGAAATCCAGGAACAAGTTGACAGCAAGGCCAGGTTCTTCTGGGGCTTCCTCCTTGGCTTTCCAGGAGCACCCCCTTGCTCCCTCTTCCCCTGGTTAACCCTCTGCACCATGCCCCTGTTTCTGTGTCCCTGTCATTCTCCTTAGGGCACCAGTCAGACTGGAGTCAGGGTCCAACCTAACAACCCTATTTACCCATTTACCTGATTGCCTCTTTCAAGGCCCTTACGTCTGATCTCCTAAGATTTCAACAAAGAAATTTAGAGAGGACACAGCTCAGCCTGTGACAGGGGCCATGGAGGCCGCATGCAGAGTAGCATCAAGCCAAGAGGAGCTGTTCTTATCATGGGAGCTTTAATCCTTTGGAAATCTTCATGTTTTTATATAATTTCATGACTACAAAGGTAGATGATTTGTGTATTCCTTATGGCGGATGGCCTGCAGATGGCAGTAAAGCACTTCCTCTAACATTACCAGCGTGTTATTCTAACCAATGGAAAGAGAGTATCTTGAAACAGCAGCCTTTTGGCCTACACAAGCACCGTGCTTTTGGACTGGCCGGGCCCCATGACTGTCCAGGGCCCTGGCTGTGACAGTGGCCAGCCATCCTGACTGAGTCCAGGCAGGATCATTCGAATGTCCTAAGTTTCATCAGCTAAGTCAAAGGAAATGTGTGACTCCAACAGCCCCGTAGCATGGCAGGTCTGGGGGCTGCTGCTTCTCGGGCCCTTGGAAGGAGGGGGCTGCTTCAGCCACTGACACAACTATTCTGCAAGACTGCCGAGCCTATGGAGGGCCAGCCCTGCTCCAACTGTCTAGAGCAGCCTGGGCGCCTTTTGGTCAAAGCTGCCCCATGAAGCTTCCGGGATCTGTCTACCACCGCTGCTGGAGATCTCAGACCATTGCCTCTCTCACCGCCCTGTGGGTAGAATCATCTGGGTACTGGATGCTTCTAGTTCAAGAGCCAGAAAGAGCAAAGGAAGGCAGGAAAAGACAAGAAAGATGAGGGAGAGGAGTCAGCTGGCGTGGGGAGCCCTGTGCTGGGCAGCCTTTGAGCTCCTCCCGTGTTGCTGTCTCCTGACACATGGGGCTGTGGCCTCGTCCCAGAGCCAGCAGTGAGTGAGACCCAGCCCGCTCTCAGTCTCACGCTCGCTCTCCGCTGCTGTACTTAGCTTCTCTCTTTTCTTACTTAGCTTTCTCCCTTCTCTTGGCGGAGGTTGGAGCAGCATGATTAGCACCCTCTCTTTTCGTCCCTGCTAAAAGGTGTTCTGTCTCTGGGCCAAGACAGTAAAATGTGAAAAAATCAGTCCAGCTGCATGGCTCAAATCAGTCCAGCTCCTTCCTGACACTGCTCTGGGGAGACGAGAGGTGGCTTGTGCCAGAGACTTTGCCTTGTCCAAGTGGCCAGGCCACCCCCCTTAACCTCCACCAGCTGGTCGGGGGAGCAGACATGCCTGTCTGTGTGCATGCTGGCGTGCTTGTGTCTGTGCCTATACGCATTTTCACGTTTTTGTGGGTGCATCTTTTGTGTTTATGTGAAAATGTCATGTGCACACATGTACATTTTGGCGTGGTGTGAATGTGCATGTGTTCACGTGTGTATCCATGTCTTGCTGCCTGTGGATGTGTTTGTGCCTATCCACATGTGCTCACATGCGTGTCCCTCTCTGTGTTTGAGCCTCTGAATGTGTGTATGGCTGACATGTAGCGGGATGAACACAAGGCTTGAAGTAGCCAAGGGCACATTTCAGGCCTTGACCCCAGTTTCCAGTGACCACAGCTATGACGTTTCACCCCTCCACCCTGGGGGCTGTGGAGGTCACTGAACAGAGACCACGGAACTTTCTTTGGAGCCAAGTGGGCCTCACTGCATAGGGAGGGGGAAAAGTGGCTTCCAAAAGCACAGCGGATGTTCGGATGTTTCTCACTCCGGGCGCTGGAGCCAGTGGGAGCTTGTTTAATTCTGAAGGAATGTGTGGGTTCCGCCCACCCAGCAGAGCAGGTCCCAGCCTGACAGAGGGCCTTGGAGCCACCCAGCCAGCAAGACAGCTGGGAAGGGGGTGCGTCTAAGCTGGTTGGGGACACACCATTCCAGGGGACAACAACCTCACAGAATGAGGTTAGGGTGCAGGTGGGAGGCGCCCTGAGGGCCTTCTTTGGTGCATCTGAGTTGCTGTCCCCGCTTCTGTGCTTGGGGAAGACAGCAAGCAAGAGGGGGTGGCCCCGTCCCACCCCAAAGGAGCTGGGATCTAAGAAGGGAGAGCAGGGGGCTGGTGTAGGTGAGGGAAGCAGAGTGAGGGGCTGGGGGCTGGGGACACGCAGGCCTCTTGGAGAGGGAGGGCACGCTGGTCCCGCAGTGAGGGCTGAGGGCAAGGCAGGAGTGGGATTTGAAGGGCAAGAGGACATTCCAGGAGAAGGAGAGAGAAGGGGAGGGGAAGGAGGAGATCCAGGGAGGCTTTGCAAAAGCAGCAGAGGCCTTTGCAGGGCAACCATGTGTACACTAGTCCAGAGGGAGGGGACGTGTAGGGCTTTAAATGCCAAGCAGAGTTCACCCTTAAGCAATGGGGGCGGGGGTGGCTACTGAAGATTCTCAAGGGGAGGGCCGAGCTGGTGGCAGTGGGGTTCTTAGAGGACAGACTGACTCTGACTGGAGGCTGCTATGGGAGCAGAAGAAGGGGGTGAGCATGTTGGGATGAAGAAGCTTGGACTATGAGTAGGCCAGGGACCATGCCAGGGGGCAGGGGAGCACAGCTGAATCTGTGTCACCTTCAGGTATTCATTGGCCTTCCTTCTGGGTTTGGATACCCCATCCCAGGAACACAGCTCCTCACCCTGTGAGATGGGAGCCAGGCCCAAACCTCCCTGCTTGGAAATCAGAGGCCAGAAGGCCTGGCCCCTCTACCAAGCTGTGGGCAGCCCATCTGTTGGCACCGAAAAGCAATTGTCTCTTTCTTCCTTTTCCCTTTCCCTGTCCTCCTGCTGCTCCTGGTACCTTCCCCTTTTTTGGCTCATACCAGGCATCGAACTTAGGCCGTTCACACTGAGCTCTAGCACTGACCCTCTTTTACTATTTTGAGACAAGGTCCTATCTCAAATTGACATCCTCTTGCTTCAGCCTCCTGAGAGCAAGAATTCCAGCATGTGCCATCATCTCTGGCTCTGGAGGTGACCCTCCCTGTGGGTGCATTCACAGCCATGCATGTGGGAGTCTCAGGCTGAAACATGCAGGCTAGGGTCCCCGCTGCTGCACTCTGTGGCTCTGGATGACCAGCTACCTCCCAACTCTCCCCGGCCTCTGGGCCCTTCCTTCAGTTCCCTTTTCCATCTCTCTGTCCCCTCTGCCTCTTGGCCGGAAGTCCCATGCAAGTCAGTGTGTCCAGCCCTGGGTTGGTCATACAGGTGAAGTTCTCTCTGGTCCAAGTCTCGTTCTGCACTGGTGCAGGATGCTGAGCTGTGACTTTTCATGGGTGCCACAGTCTTGAGGGTCAGCACAGCGCTGGAGCAGCACCCAGAAATGCAATGCAGCCTCCTGGGCCCCACCGAGCTGAGAGTCCAGCTGTCCCTGGTAGTGTCGAGGGTGGCCTTCTGCTTATGGTAGTGTCACCTTAGAGTCTATGTCATGTCATGTTTAATTGTGTTGGGCCTGATGCAAAAGGGAAAACCAGTTTTAAGAAACATGCCTTTATTTTAAATTTAGATATTTCATGCATCTTGGATATTTTGCATTATTATTTTCATTTGCTGTACCAGAGACTGAACCTAGGATCTTTGCACTGAGCTATATCCCAGCTCTTATTAATTTTTTGAGAGGGTCTTGCCATCATTAAATTGCCCATTCTAGGTTTGAACTTGTGATGTTTCTGCCTCCGCTCACTAGAGTGCTGGGCTTAGGTTGCACCACCATGCCTAGGTTCCCACCTCGCCCAGCTCTGAGACCATGAGAAGGACAGGGACAGGAATGTTTGATCTGGCCCCCACGTACCCTAGAGCAGAGAGGCTCAGGGATGGAAGAGGACCACACTCCTCGCTTCTAAGAGAGGTTCACAATCAGTGGGGGAAGGGATGGGTTCAATCTTCAGTTGCACAACAAAAGAAAACACATACATACACACACACACACACACACACACACACACACACACACACACAAATAATAAACTCCATGAACGTAGAGTGGAGTGCTGCCAGTCTGTGAGTGGATTCTGTGGAAGCTGGTGCTCAGAGGCAAACACAAGCAGGAGGAAACTCTGAGCCTTTCTCCTGGAATCTCAAAGAACAGGGGCCTGAGGCCTGCATCCCTGCCTTGCCAGCTTGCGCACTCCTAAGATGTGGCTCACTGCTGGGTTCCTGTGATCTTTGCACATTTTCCTCATTAACCCCTTCTCCAGAGGGTGGTGAGAGCCACAGGCCAGGGGACAGGGCTGTGGCACTGGGGCTTGGGCAGGGCCATGTTGCTGAGAAGTAGCCGTTGCCACCTCCGTGGGACTGCGCTGGTTGGGGCCAGTCTGCACCCTTAGCTCACAGCCTACCTAGACTGCACCGAGAATGTTAGGTTTAAATCTAAAATATCCCCTAATAGTCTCACGTTAGGCGGGGCCTGGTCAGAGGAGGTGTCCCTGGGGTGTGACTTGCAAGGGTGTGCTCTCATCCCCAGCTCCTTCTCCCTCTGTGCTTTCTGGATGCTATGTGTTGAGCAGCTGTCCTCCCCCATGGCCTCTACTGTGCCATTTCTGCCTTGACCACACACTGAAGCCTGTGAAACCATGAGCCAGAATAAGTCTCTTCCCCTTTATGTTGCAGCTGTTGGGTATTTTGTGCCCATAATGGGAAACTGACAAATACAGAAAATTGCTACTGAGAATGCAGTCGTTGCCAGGATTGTACCTGACCACGTAGAAGCCTTTGAAACTGGTTTGTGGGGAGAGTTTGGAAAAGTTTGGAGATGCAGGCTAGGGAAGCCCTAGCAGAGCTTGATGGATGACGAAGAATGCATCCCAGGCTCCTGAGGTCTCCGTTGGTAAGGAGGACTCTGTTGCAAACTGGACTGGAAGCCGTGCATATTTCATTCTGGCAAAGTATTTGACCATATCCTAAGACTATGTGAACTTGAATTTAAATATGGCAGATTTTAAAATTCTGGTAGAGGAGTTGGGGATTTAGCTCAGCGGCATAAGTGCCTGCCTTGTAAGCAGGCAGTTGTGAGTTTGATCCCTGGTACCCATAAAAAGGAAAAAGACAACAACAACAAAAAAAATCTGGTAGAGGAAATTTCAAAGCTGCTTTTAGCCAGATCAACAGTGAAAATCAAGAAAAGTTTGCATTTTCATCAGAAGGGAAGTACCTGCAGAGTTGGGACAAAGGAGAGCTTGGTTGCTGGAAAGATCAGCATTAAAAAGGAAGCAAAGTATTTTGTACAGGGACTAGGTGCTTTAAGGCATCTGAGAAATCAGCAAGACTTCAGTAACTTCATGCCTAAGGGTGTCAAACTGTAAATATTTATTTTAAGAAGAGAGTTCCTGGGATGCTTCCTCATTCAAGGCTGCCTAGGAAAGTATATCCCTGAGTTCAGCCAACCAGAGACTCAGGAGCCACTGCAGCCATGATCCAAGGGGCCCAGCTACTGCACAAGCTGGCAGCTGACCTTGGTATCATTCACAGGGTGCTGGTTTTGCAGGCATGCAGAATAGAACAGTTATGGAATCACAAAGGCTTTCACCAGGTTTCAGAAAAAGACCTGAGAGACCGAGGAAAAATATGTGACAGGCTTGTAGTCCCGGACAATATGTGAAGCTGTGAGAGTGAAGCCAAAGGTGTACTGGAGACTCCTTGTGAAGAACATAGAGTATCTGCTGAGGAGAGCTGCAGGCCATGAGCAATGCTAGCTTGAGAGAAAGGGCATGATGGTCACAAGAAGTAAGACCACAGGGCCTGGCCTGGCCCCAGCTCTTTGGAAGTCCCATCTCACCAAAACCTGACTTGTGGGCTGGACTGGAACTATGGGGATTGCTGGGTATTGGCGTTGCCTGGGTCCAGTTCCGTTCTACCCCTATTCCTTCCTTTTGGAATGGAAATGTTCACTCTGTGCCACTGTATGTTGGAAGTACTTAACTGTTTTTGAATTTTTTTTACAGGTGCTCACAGCTAGGAGTTTATCTTGAGTCTCAGAAGAGACTTTGGACTTTTCAGCAGTGCTTGAACTGTTAAAGACTGCTGATGCTTAGAGATGGACTAAATACATTTTGCATAATGAGATGGATATGAACCTTTTGGGGCCAGTGGTGAAATGTTATGATTTAGCTCTAAAACATTTCTCAAAATTCTCATGATTGTAGGGGGATCTTGGTTGGAAGTGGTGGAGCATGACTTGGAAGTGGGTATTCTCTTCCCAACTGTGTCTGTGACTCTGTCTGCATCCTGGCTACTGTGGACTGAGCAGCTTTTTCCTGCTATGCTATTCCACTAAATCTTTTGGCCATAGAGTTTCTGCCTTGAAGCCAACCAATCATGCACTGTACCCACTGAAACTGTGAGCCAAAATAAACTGCTCCTCCTTTCAGTTGTGGCTGTCAGATATTTTGTCCCAGCAGTGGGACAGTGACCAATACACTGAGGGTGTGCATGAAGCAGTGCAGAGAAACCCTGATCTCTACTTGACTGCTCTTCTTGGCCTTCCACTGGTTGCTCGGTCCTCCATCTTTGGCTGTTGGAACCATATAGCACAGATGCTCAGGCTAAATAAAGGTCTCTGTGATGAGCCTTTGAAGGCTGGAGTCATGAGAATGTGACCTTAGGTTAATGCTGGAGTACCCTGGAGGCCTGGCTCCTGTTTCCTCTGCCTGGGTTCTGTTACTACCACCTCCATTCAAATCACCAGTCTACCCTTATCTTCTAGGCTCTCCCCTTTCCCTGCCCTTGGGGCCTCCTTCCAGGCCCCCCTGCTGGAAAGAGGATTCCCCCTTCTCCCACTGCTCACAGCTGTTTCTTCAGATGTGGCCACTGGGCCTTATTTCCTGCAAGATACGGATTTGAACACAAACTTGATCTCTGGGTCACAATCTTCCATTTTTTTTCTTTGTTCTGTTTCCTTGCATATAAAACCCATTCGTGCTAATCGTAGGAGATGTGGAAATTTGAACACAAAGCAGGAAACAATGTTAGGACCTAAACCTGGTGCTTGGAGATAAACAGTGCTGCCCATCTGGAATGTCCCATGTTCTGGTAGACAGTGGCATGGTGGCGCCCTTCCCATAACAACACTTCCTGTCCTTGTCCTGGTCCTGTCTTCCCGCATGGCCTCATGACACGGCAGCAGCGGTCACTGATTTCTCCTCTTCACGGCTGAGGACTCATCCCAGGGCCCCTGCTCATCATGCCTTGAAGACCCAGGGCTGTGGAGCACCCTGGGCTTGCACACTAGCTATAAAACCTGCCCGTGCCCAGCAGTACTTGCATCTCAGTAGCTCTTGTCTGCATGGAGTCTCTCTTTCTAGTGCCCACCAGCACTGAGTCTCACTGGGGGACTAACGTGGAATATCACCACCTCCTTTGGGGTCACTGCAGCTTGGGTCGGGGGAGGTGGGAAGGAAGGGGGCAGGTTTCAACCACTGGCCTGGAAACCACATCAAATAGTGCAGCTCGGAATTAATAAATTTGGGAGACAAGTCAATTACCCTCCCCTGTGCCCCTGTCCCCAGGGGGCAAACAGCGGCATGTGGGTCCTGGTCTCAGCACGCCTTCCCCAAGGCAGGCCAAGCGCTGCAGCTGGCTTCTGTCAGATTAGCCAGGCGAGATGGGACAGGCTTCTGTCCTCTGGGGAAATGGCTCCCTTCCTGGGAGGTGGCGAGGACATTCCCAGGTTGCTCTGTTCCTTCCTGCCCTCTCCCTGCACTCCTCCGAGCTGGGAAGGGAGTTGCCCAGACTCCTGTTAAAGGCCCGAGCTGCAGGGGGTGTTGTAGTCGGTGCCCTGTAGACACCTTAGCATGATTATTTTAACTTAAAATATGAGACTACCTGTTGTCTTAGAATACACTTATTTACCTAGTAAATACTTAGTTATACCTGCTTTGTGCTAGAGGTTTTGTTGGGTTGTGGAGTCACAGAGATGAGAGACAGCCCTTCCATAGAAAAGGTGACAGTTGTGTCAGAAGCATAGTTACCCACAGGGCACTTGAAGGGCAAAGGGGGGACATCCAGCTCAGCCTGGAAGGCTCCCCAAGCAGGCGATGTCTGGCCTACGTTCTGGGAGGGCAGGTTGTCGAGGGGAAAGGCTGGCGCTATTCCATATAGAGGGACAGTTTGCAAGAGGTGAGGGCAGAGGGGGCTGGGGTGGGAAGTTACACATATCCGCTAAAGGGAGTGCACCCAAGGGTGAGGGTGTGCATGTGCGCACGCTTATGTGGCACGTACATGCGTGCATGTGACACACAGTTCTTTAAGTCTTGTAGAAAACATTGATTGAGGATTCTTTTGAACGTTGTGTGTATTGGAAGTGTCTATCTAGAATAAGAGACAACTCCATGGAACCCAGTACACTAAGAGAACAATAATCTTCTAGCTATGATCACCAAAAAACTGGAAAATTTCTGGTATTTGCTGCCCCTGAATTTTCTACGTTTGCATCATCTAAGAATGTCCTCTACATCAGCACTTCTCAGATCGCTCTGGATATTTATTTAAAGCGTGGGTATTTGGGGCCTGTCCTGGAGTGTCTGCAGCACTGCATTTTAAACAAGCTTTCCTGGATCAGATGTGGTCAGAAGGCCCGAAACATTGTTAAAACCTGATTATTTCCTAGGGGAACCTGTTTGCAATTTGCAGTATTGACACCAGATGGCAGTAGCGCTTTGTGATGCTCTAAGACATTTTCTGCTCGGGAGAGTTTCTCCAGATACAGGTCGGCTTTGGCGGGAATGTACACAAGTGACTGTTGTAGGTAATTTATAGACTAAATTGGTTGTGAAATCTTAAACTTCAGTGCTCAACTTTAAATTTACCTTTGAAACATTTGAGTCGAGCTTTTCAACATGTGTGGCTTTTGGTCACCTGAAATGTGGTTAGCTTGAACTGAGATGTGATAAAGTACAATCAGACATTGGCTTTTAAAAATATTCTTTGGGATGGAGGAACCCTCCTCATCATCCCTGTGTTCATCTTGAATGATCAAGGGTGCCCCTTCTGGAGGGGAGACGTTGCTAGATTGGGAACGGTGATCTGAATTTGTAAGGGGCTTGGGAGAGCTCCAGAGTTGTCCCGATTTAACCAGGAAGTTGCTGTGGAGACAGCAGCCACTGCGAAATGACTCTAAGTAGGTTAGCAAGCTGCAGACCAGCAGAGCCTTTGCCTGACTCCCAGCCACGGGATAGTTCTGGCCACTTGAGCGCTTCTGGGGTGTCGTGGATCTCGAAGGTGTTGCTCAACTTAAAAAGGTATTCAGACTTGTTACCTAGATGCCGCAATCCGTGGCCATTCTGCCCACGGGGATGATTATAAATGGCAGCTAAGTGTGGCATTCGGAGCCGCAGGGCCGTAGTTTTGCTGTGCTTTGTGCCAGCTTCTCTGTACTAGTTTTTGCAAGTGAGTTGCCGTCAGGGGCATCTTTGAGGCGAAGCCTGCTTCAGCTTCTTGATTCTCCTGCCTCTGCAGGTTTTGACATCTCTGAGCGCTCAGGCCCGCCAATCCATCTTTGAAATTATGTTCATTGGGGCTGGGGATTTAGCTCAGCGGCATAAGCGCCTGCCTTGCAAGCAGGCAGTCGTGAGTTCGATCCCTGGTACCGATAAAAACGAAAAAGACAAAAAAAAAAAAAAAAAAAAAAAAAAAGAAATTATGTTCATTGCCACCAGCACATTTAAGGGGTCACGAAGTCTTCACCTCACGTGCTCCTGACCAGGACTGAATCTGCCACCAGTGCTTACCTTGAATTGGTGACCCCAGATACCAGCTCATCAGCTGCTTCTTTGGGGAACGTTGTAACTGTCTCCCGAACTTTCGCACACACTTACATTGAAAAGTATCTCAAGCCATCTGGGTTTTTATTTCTGAAACACCAGAGCCTGTCAGACCTCTGGCCTGGTTTTCTCTCCCCAGGGCCCCAGGCAGTAGCTTCTGCAAAGAGTCTGAGTGCGCTTGGCCGGGGTCTTCGGGTTCCCAGCCACACATTTCCATCTCCTAAGTTTCCACTGTGCTCTGTCACCATTTGGGCTCCAGCACTCGGGGCTGCTGGTCCCAAAGCTTTTGGCAAAATCTTTGTCGGTGAATCCCTGCTGGAAACCAGAGGGGCCACCACAGGAGATGCCACGAGGGGTTAGGGAGTGTGATTCTCAGCGCTTTGCCTTTTAAAGGTGGAGAAGAGGGAAGAATGAAATCTCATTGGTATTTTCGTCATGATGCTAAAATTATAGCTTGAATCACATAAAGTTCTATTGTGAAAATTAATTTCAATTACTTCCTTTTACTTTTTAGAGGTGACTAAAAATTTTAAGTGCGCCTTAGGTTCTGTTTCTAAAAGAAACATTGTGTTAGAAATCATCTCTGTAAATTGATTTCCCCGTCTTGAAAGCGAGGGAATCAAGGCCTGAAGTCTGATGACCAAGTTCGAGACCTGAAGTCAAAAGACCGGCATTTAAGTTCAAGTTCAAACTTCTATCACACGCCGTGGGCGAGCAGTGTACTTTCTCCTGGCCTCTGTTTCATCATCTGTAAAGGAGATAATTGCGGCAGTGCCACATAAAAGAGCTACTTAAAAAGACACTCAGATAATGTGGGTGAAGGAGCTAGACAGACTCAAAGGCTCACAGAGATACCGAGTGACTATTGTTGTGGCTACCGATAATGACAGGGATCCCAGACCAAATAAACTCATTGATTAGCCATGTGTGAGAGGCGCTGGCTTGGCACTGCCAGACCAGTCGAGTTTACCACTGAGGTCAGGGTTGCTGTGTCTGCTCATGAGATGTACAATGTTAATTCATGGTTAAAATAGTGACTGGAGTTAGAAATGGAAGACGCATCCCAAGGCACTAATAGTAAGAATTACTGCTTTTTTAAAAACAATAAACATTTATTGATCTGGGACAGTAGGATGGAAAGGTTGGGGTAGAGGAAGAGAAAGGAAAATTGATTAACGAGCTGCATGGTGATAGATATTTGTACTCTCTCTATTTTGGGAGGCTGAGGCAGGAGGATCTCAAATTCTAGCCCAGCCTGGCCAACTTAGTGACTTAGCTAGATACTGTCTCAAAACAAAACAAAACAAAAAAAAAAAAAACAAAAACGGAAAAAGACTGGAAATGTTGCTGAGTTTGAAGTTCCTGGGGTCAGTCCCCAGACGCACGCAGGCATGAAGATGATCTGTTTGTGAAGGGTTCATCACTGGAAGGGGAGCAGAGGCAGACACAGGTGGCCCCAGGGAAGATGAGAAGACTGGAGGCCACGGAGCACTGCGATGAGAGATGTGTGAAAGGCTGTCGATTTCTGACCAGCTCTCCATTCTCCTCCCTTCCTTGCTATGGAGGCTCTTGATGCTCTGAGGGTTTGGCAATAGCCCAGTTTAAATAC